CAGGCGGGAGCAGTCATTCGATGATTTTCCCCCCATAAAAAAAATGTATTATACATCAACTTATAATTAAATTTAATCATTAATTACTTCATGCGCGGCAATAAATAAGAGAAAATACAATTAAAGTACAAGACTGCAACTTGTTGTTTTTGTTAGAGAAGTCGTGAGGCGCAGTCGTGATTGAGGTAGAGCCAGTACTAGTCCGAGTTACAGGAACGGACTGAAATGTTACTGTATTTCTAAAATAAGAAATGATGACAAATTAAAACTGAAAAGTCAAATAGAAAGAAGAAAGTGAAAACATTAATTATTCCCGTTTATTCCATAGTAGGCTCGCACACAAATACAAAAATAATACAAAATTAAAAAGAAAAGAAGATATAAATACAGATACTTATATATATATACGTTTTTGTTGAAAAAAAAAAATATTTAGTCCGATAAGTATGGAGATAAATATGAGGGTCACCTGGAAAGTCTTCAAATACTTGATCAGACAATGGATTAAAACATTTTTTTTTTGGTATATATTGGTATTGGTACTTTGATTACACATTATTAAAATCAAACACAAGAACAACATTAACAAGGCAGCCTTTGTAAGGCATAAATAATTAAAAACACGCTTATCTATCGGTCCTTTAGACCATTGACTAATAAGATAACCATTACGTGTCCAGTTCATTAAAGTTCCTTCTGTACATAATTATTCTTAAAGTACTTGTACTCTGAATGTTCTAATACATGTACTATTAGCTCACTCGTTGCGTTAGCGGACATCCGTCGAAATACTTTCACATTTGTTTTTTCCTTATAAGATGAAGGTACCCACTGACTGTCTTCACTGTGTGACTATTGCTTGGGAGTCCAAGGAAGATGTGAAGGTGGTAGAAATGTTTGCTTACTGGGCAGAAGACGTTTAACCCCGCTCAAGAGTTAAGAGTCTTTACCACCAGGCGAGACAGTGGTCAAACGTCGGCCCATCAAAATACTTTTCAAAGTCAAAGCGTTAGTGAATAGATTGCTTACGGGACGACATGCTCCATTATAGGCCACATTATCGCTTACCAACAGGCGAGATAATGGACCATTAAGAACAGAAAAAAAAACTTATAAAAATACACCTGAATGTTATCTACCCACACGAAGATAAACGAAAATTTTAATGAATTGAGTTAATGCCATCTCTTTATTTTTGGATTTTTAAATAGTCGTTTCATGTAATTATACTTAATTCATGAAAAGTTTTGTTTAGTAACAGTTTGACTGTAAAGGTGCCAAATATAAAAAAAAAGTAAGGCTTACTATCGGCTGAAGTTGTACTATGTTGATGAAGACAAAGTTATATACTAACATTCTTGCCAACAATGTCTATAAACTGGGTTATTATTGGGATAGAAAACAAAAAACATCTTCTCCCCTAACACTATCCACGCATCACCTACGTTTTAGTACCTCATTAGCCTAAAGAACATTTAGATGAAGAGAAGTTGAATTCCTTTTTGGAAAATGCCCAGTTAGTCAAAAGAAGATTTTTTCAATATTCTCGGACATAAATCAATCGATTACGACAAGTATCATCATTGCTTTAAATCGATGGCTTCAAGTTGTCCTAGAACTTTCGACCACAAGTCGTCAATGTACCCGTTACCATGGCAACGTATAAACTTAACGGTGTGCACAGTTTCGCCGGTCTGTGGACAAAAGTCGCGGCTTCACTCAGCACTCTACTGACAATGACACTGCTTATAGAATTACGTTTTATGACCAGTCAAGAATGTGGATTACGGTATTTTGGAAATATTATTAGATAGCTCAAAAACTAAGTTGCATACAAACTTTATGGAGACGGTTTCTGACGAACTGTTTGAGTTGTCATAACGTGAGTTGCATGAATGTTTGTTTTAGTCAAATACTTAATATTTGCTTTCGACAGTTCATTATAAGTTTATCTTGGTCGTTTAAATCTCTAGTACGGTTACAAGTCATTGCTCTGGTCATTTACCAAAATCTTTATTTTTTATGATTTATTAAAAATTGGCAATTAGCCACTTAGGTGTACCAAATTTTAAGTAGTCTCAATCAAGTAAATTACATTTTCATTCATTGCGTAAAAAGAGACGTCAATTTTTCGAGCATCAATATGAAGAGCGACTGTGAATTTATAAAATTGTACCCTTAATATTAGCTCATCAGAAGTGCTTCCGACCACTCCTCCAACAAGGCACACTTCCTATAAATAACTACAAACAGGTTAGAAACATGATACACCCCGTAAAGGAGTTCTTATGATACTTTCTTATCGCTCTGAACTAGGAGCCGTATCAACTAGACAAGCCTTGTAGTAACTCCAGCATCTGTTTCATTACATTTTCAACTTTATCATCAAAACTATAATGCTGTGATTCTTTTGATGGAGTTTGTAAGTTGAGGATAGCTTAATGTGCAGTCACAGTGACCTCCTAGCCTCGATAGTATCACTTTCGCGAGGAATCTTATGTCATTATGTTATAAATTATATCCGTAGCCAGTAATTTGCCGGCCCACCGGGCGAGGCATGCCTCGGTAGAACAAGGTGGTCGAATGTAATTGAGATATTTTGATATAAGTTCCGATGTCTTTTTTTTTATAAGGGGGGAAATTATCGAATGACGTCTCCCGCCTAGATGAGGCGCGAGGGAGTGCCAGACTCTTACGGACTTATAACTATCCCGTTCCTACTCCTGCACTTCGAGCCGTAGCCCCGGCAACCCGTTAAGTCCTCTGCGGCTCCGTATCGGCATCAGCCCTATTGGACCCCATCTGTGGTGATCTGATGGCTCTTTGAGGCGCGCGCAGAACACGACGCGCCGCACGCTCGGGATTGTAATCCGGATAAAGACGGATTATAATTGTCCAGTGGTCTTTATTACCTACACTATTTTGAAGGATTAGATTTCAATACGTGAGTTATTGGTGACATTATGTTTTAATTCTAGCCAATAGTAAACCGCGTAGTGTAATTTGGCATCAATGTGTAGTGTTTAACTATTAAAGTAATGAATACCTTTACTAAAGGAATCATAGATGTGTGGAAGACCAATGTCTTCCGGTCACGGTCCGAAAGTGGAAAAAATAATGTCATATTACTCTATAATTGTTAAACAACCGATTTCAATAATCTAATCTCTGCTAATGATATGACAATACTATAAATATATTTACTAGTAACTGACCTACAGAAAAACATTCGAAAAACATGTCTAATATGAATATCTTGGCACGTCTCGATACAAATCTCATTCGATCGAAGTTAATTACAGGCGTTGACCCACAAATTACCGCGGCGGCGCTGGCGTCGCAAATGGAAGACAATCAGCGCAGTAGTGAGGAGTCGATACGAGTGTCGATTGTCGATTGCTAGTTGTCATCGTGATACTGTTATATTGGAGTAGTGTGTGGTGTAAGTTTTAAGGAAGAGAGATTTACCGTTCAAACTACGGGGCGTCGTTGGTTAGCTTTTCCATCTGTTAGTAACAATTCATTGGTAGTTTATTCAGAACTGTTTTTTTTACTGAAATTCGTTTAACGTTATGACTAATTGAGGACAATTAGGAGTAGGAACTCCTGGACAATAAAGGGGGTTCTCCAATCTCCTAATTAGCTCGGTATGCATCTTGTTTAACTAATCTTCATGGTACTTGATAAGGTCTAAGATTATGTATAAGACTAAGAAATACAAATATGCATATCAGATCTGTCTAAACAGTGTAAAATATTACTGAATTGAGATCATAATACAATACACTTTCATTTGAACTAAACTTAATTATTTATTTCAATTTAACACTAGTGCATAATTCAATTCGTGAAATTGAAATAAACAGTTACATAATATTAAAAAAAACAGTTACATTACTGTACATTGTCCAATGATATTACGTAATTTTTTTTGTTAAATACAAATATAACAGTTCAACACTAATAGTATCATTAAATAATCAAAGTTATTCATGAACACAGAGATTATAATAATTTTGGCGCCGCTATCTCCCATGCCTTGTACCACATACTCCAGTTCCCATTAGTTACGTTTAGTCACCCTAACACTACATTTCTGTAATTTCTCACAAATCGAACAAACCACTTTTTACGCAGCTCATTTTAATCTGGTCAACGGTATTACGAGTTTACGACTTTTTACCGTCCGCCGGTAAATAGACACATAAAAACTGGTATCGCTGTAGGTCACCGCATCACTAGTCGTGATTTTATTCTATTTTTTTTGAAAAATATTTATCAAGTGTTTGAAAAAAATACGCATTTGCAAAAAATTTGATTGTACATTCTATTGTATATCTCGGTATTTGTAATAACGGTTACTCTACGAACAGTTGTGCGTAACTATTACGGCAGTTATTGAGTACGCCGAGGAATGACTATTAATTTAATTTTTTCAGTACAAATAGAATATTTTGTCGGCAGATCTCTAAATAAACTTTGTGATAGGTCATCGCTCTAACGAACATAGCACTTACATCTTTTTTAATATATTTGCGTAAGTATTCGGTGTTAATACAATACGATAGACATTGACACCTTATCATACCAAGATGACCTTTGACAACAATTAACACGCCAACTGCTCAATTTCTTCATTCATTTTTTTTGAGAATACAAGTACGAGTAGGCGGGTGTAAATCGAACGCTTTTCTCACCTCCATAGATACCTAGTTAATTGAGAAATAATTTTCATTTCACTTTGTTAAGAAAATTTGTATCCTTGATATATATCCCGTGACCTCGGCCATTCATAGTTATAAGAAACAATAAGCTATATGGACTATGAATTTTTCACACAGTATTTAGCAATAGAACCTTTACTATTCATAATAGTGTTGTCCGAAATAAATAATATCAGATAATACTTACGCCGGATTATTATTTCCATAGCAGTGTCAGCTTTCATCTCATGACATAATCGCATTGTACTCACAACTATTAATTTTATTCTTTCACAGATCGAGACGTAACTTCGCAAACTTAAAAATACAATGGGCTAGTGCTACTACTGGAACTCGAAGTCAACATGAACGAAAGTCGAGAGCGAATCCGTCGTGAGCGGGAGAGGGAGAAGAACACGTATACCTCTCCTCGTCTTGCGTTACGTCGCGTGCTACTATTGGCTGAAGGAAGACAGTTTCGGGAAGCGGCGGCCATCTTGTCCAGATTGGGACCTGGAGTGCTACAAAGTGTAGCTTCGGAGCTGCCCATAGATTTGTTGGTGGAGGCGCTGCCACATTCAGCGCATTTGATTGAAACTCTTTTGAACAGGTGAGTTTATTTATAAGACCTCATTATACTTAGGTATGTTAAGCTGAAATGATTTACTGAGAAAGTCACTTTGATCTCGATAGGTACTCGGCAGTTCATATGGTAGGAGATAATAACTCCATTAATATTAAAAGCTACAAGAAATAAGCATTAAATGACGAATGTACGACAGAAATACGACTTTTTCCGATCATTGTGCACACTACAACAAAACATGAATGACATGCAATACCCAAGTGTTCGGAAGTTTGTTGTAATGATTAACACCCGCTCCTCTTTGTCTGTCTGTCTCATATTTACATAACTATCTTGTTTACTGACTTTTCTCTTAGCACTTTCTTACACACTCTAACAATTACACAATCGAACATTATAAAAGTTAATATTCGTAACTTGTACAGCGCATTAAGTTAATTCATCGGCCATTCTTCGATTGGCGCAGCAATTACTTCCCATACACTTTACTAGAAAGTAGAAATTACAAGTAATATGACACAAGACGAATTTATAAACGATTTTAAAACTATATTGTGAAGTGGTGGTAACAGTCATCGACTGGTTAAACGTAACTTCGATATGTTTGTTTTATTCAATATTAAATTCATACCAGAAAATTCTAGGTACAGGAGACGTTTGCAATCTTTAATGAAATGGGCGTTATCTAATATTGAAGACTAATAGAGAAGATCTAATTAATATTGAACCATTGCATTCCAACCATGTCCGCGTTGCCATTTTTCGTCTCTGATGAGAGGAAACATAATTACTATTCCGATATCTTGCCACATTAATCCTTGTCAATGCTGTTGATCTATCGACATCGACATTGCTTTAAGCGGAGGGGTACAATATCGAAGACTTGGAGTGGAGTAGTAGCCGAGACGTGACCGCCCGTTATCCACCGTGGTCTCGGTTGAGAGCCGGCCGCGGTCAGTTGCACCCGGCAGTACTTGTAGTAGGTGTAGGGGTTCAGCTTAGGAATATTATGCAAGATGGATTTTCGTTACCAGTGCTACTATTGATGAATAATGATTTCGTATATAGAAAGATTGGACATCGTTAGAGGGCATTCCAGACGGACACACTTCGACCAGGTACGATTATTAAAAAGGGATAAAGTGGAAAGACCTTTAATTGATGAGCATACATATTGATAAAGTAGATGAAGCGAAAGAGGTATCCCAGAATGGTGTTATTTGGCTATGATCTCTACCATCCCTTCTATTGAGGTCAATGGAAAACAGGGTGACGAAAAAAGCGATACATTAATACTTCACCCGACCCAGAATCTGATACAGCCAGTACTATAGTCTATAGTCACATTAACAAGTGCTGACATTCACCCAATTTTAGTTAAGCTCCAAACTTGTGATCATTTTTATTCCATGTTTATGTGTTAGTTGATCACACTGCCCACATGGCAACACGCTGACATTAATAAACAAACAAAATAAACAGCTTAAAATTCAGTGTGACACTTAAATTATTCATAAATTCGTTGAGATTAAGAACATCTAGTTACATATTCATAAGGATATATCATGTACCAATTGCGAGCTATCGACATTAAATGCAATTAATTTTCTAACGATATTATCTGGCCTTCATTAATATCTTAATATCAGCTAATGAGAACAATCTGTCATTCTAATGGATTCCACAAGTGAACCGCTACAATTTCTAAATTCCTCATGTCAGTATCATTGTGATCCAATACAGCTTACCCACTATCTCTGATCTTAGATTACATGCATGCAGAACATTCAGAACTCACAAACGAAAACAAACTCTAAATATGCAACATAAAAGTTTATAATAACTTCCAACATGAATTACGTTATACGTTTTTGAATAGAACCATTCAAAAACACTCCTTAAATCTTTGTTTTAAGGTTCAAGGATGTGAACAAGTTAATTTACGGGATTGTTAACGAAAGTGCCGTCGACCGGTTGGTTGGTATTTAGCGTCCAGACTACTTTCACATGATTTACAACCATAATGACCTTCAAACTGTCGAGACTCGAAGGAACCGCTGAGAAAGTCCTATGACAGGTTTTAATTCAGCGTCCATTGCGGAAATTGTATGAAACTGGTAAATGAACCTACTGACATTGTTTACAAAAGCTGCAGTGGACATTAAACTTGATATTTACTTCGCTAACGGTATTAAATGATTTGGTTATGTTTTGGTGTTAAAAATATATATCGGGATTTGTTTTTCAACGTCAATCGTAGATAGAAATCATGCCAAAAGCGTAGAATAGGACAGACTCTCTTCTCCGACGGACACATCACAATATATTATGTATGAAAAATATTTTCTTGTGTATCTAATGACTATAACATTTTTATTGGTTGTTTTTCACCAAGCACACGTTACATAGATTTATGCTTATCCAAACAATTGATTTCATAAAGAAAATAATACTAATTTTAAGACACTTGAACAAGACATAAGGGAGCTTGATTAAGTAATATCTAACAAGCACTTCATGTATTATAACATAACACCTCACATCGAGTCATCGAAGTTACATTACATTATGTATTACTGCCATTAAATAACATATTGTTACGCCAAGTGATTCAGCGAGATCAAAGGTCGGAAGCTTGAGTGCGGTACAATTGTACATGAGCACTATGATTGATACATAATCGATGTGATATGGCATTTTGAACTATTAGAACTCGAGGCGTTTTCGTCCGTCATCAAAACATTCAACTTAAATTTATATTAAAACATACTTTCGATAGACTCGAGATATATTAAATCCTGCCTGTCATTGGAACGTGGCTAAGTGACCCATGCAATCAGCGTCTCCTTCGAAAAATTCATTAATCAATGTCCAAATACCTTCAGCCGCATCACTAAATAGAAAGGATAATTTAATTTAATAACAGTCACAAAATATAATACGCTGAGCCCAGACATGGGATTGGAAAGCTCAAAAATATTTGCAACTACGATTAATTACACGGCTACGCTCCGATGACGTCGGATTATTAATTTATTGCATCTCCCGCCAAAACCCGCCATCTTGTTTTACAGCTGTCTTATAAGATCAAGGCATTCACTTTTACTGCCTAGGTTTTGACAGTTCATATGGTTTCACTTTCGAGAAAGGTCCCTAATACAGATGATCAGTTTATTGTCAGTTATGCTTGATTGCATGCATCAGTTCTGCATGTTATGAGATGGTAAATGGCGTATCAAAGTTTTATTTTTATTGGCTTCATTCACTATAATCATTCACTTCTAAAGGAAAGATGAGATGTTTTACTAAGCATTTAACTATCAACAAAGACAGTATTACATACATGAGAAAATTGAACACAGAGGTGATGATTGAATTCAATGCGTTAAAATACAAAACACGCTAATCACACACTGTTGATCCTGATATTGTAAGCAAATACCGTAGAATTAAAACTATCCATGTAAATCCCCCATAATAACACGGATTGAACAATAACATCAAACCGCTAATGAAATAAAAGTTAAACACTCATAATAACCATACAATCAATACTAATACCACACATAGAACCAAATTACAACTAAATTTGCAAATAAACATCATAATGAAGGAACAAAATGTTGCCGCCTTTGAGTCTCAGAGTTCGTGAATGGTTATCCATAATGGTATAATTATATGTCGGGGTCTGATGGACCCGATGTGGGTGAAAGTGCACCGGTCGGACCTGTTCCCGGACCCTCGGTTTTGGTGGTTCAGTGAAATTTATGGACCTGCATTGATTGCTTCGATGTTTTGTTGTTTTGTTCATTATTGTAGCTGGGTTGGGAGTGTAGCTGTATGTAGGTGCTGATTTATGGTTACCTACTATTCTGTGGTTAAGTTTCCTCAAGATTTCCAAGTCTCACAAAAGGTTTGATAAGTTTTAAAACTGACTACTGTTCATATGTTCAATTATGTTCATATCAAAATTATAGATAACAGTAAAAATGAAAAGGTAGAGTCATCGATAATCAATATTTTTTGAAACAATGTTGTAGTTAAATTCTTTCCCTTTGAGTATTTGAGTCGCTGAAAAGCGAAAGTTAAAGCCGTTGAACCAAACCAAAAAATACTGCATCGACTAGTAAATTGAAGTGCTAAATACTGGAGAGTTCCATGTTAATCAAACGAGTTGTATTGTCTACTGTCTACTCACTTAGTGTGTGGTTATCTTTCCAAATCTTGTTGGTCTAGTGAAGCCCTTGTTGCCCACATGATTTAACTGGTGATGATAATGTGAAGTTACAATTAAGTAATAAAGTTTTATATGTGTATAATGTTATAGTTCGTATCTCAGTAACATTGCACACAAGATCACACAACATCGCGGACGTGAATTAGTTGTCCCCTGGAGCGTGTCAATGTTGTTGGAGATTTTGTAACTCGATGCTGAAGATTACTTTCAGTAAGAACAATAAGAGGATTTGATGTGACATGTTGTAATAGGGAAGTAAAAGTCAATACTTTAATAAGTACTTTCATATTCGTTTTATTATGCTAATAGTGTCTATAGGTACCGTGACTGATAGGTAATAGCAATGATCTGGAACTGACGATAATAGGGCCTATCATATTTTAGCTCACCAAATGGCACTTTCGTTATTCGTCCAATAGGGAATTAGCGAATATCACATCAATGAACGTTCAACATTTGACAGCTGCAGTGATTGGACAGAATAACATCTTGCTACATTGTCGCCATCTGGTGACAATATGTATATATGATTATTTGTAAACTTCGGATTAGGATTTTAAATATTACATGGCTAATACCATAGAGGAAATGATTCAAATCAATCAATTACTGGCATTGTCCAACTACTGCATGATGATGATACAAAGAACAATAATTATTATAGCGTCTAACAGTGGACTGTAATGATGATGGTTGTGATAGAAATTCCATCAATAGATGAAGTAATGCTTTCACATACAGAGATAATAGATAAACCTAATAGAAATAAATCACACAATTATAAAGGTGTGATAAATAAAATCAACACTGAAAGAATAATAGTTGTGTGAACAGAAATAGAAATTATTGACAATGCTGACAATGACGTGAGAACGGATCGTGTACCCTGACTGAACAGTTTCACTCGCAACCACTGAGCGCTGGAAACTAAAAGTATTCACGATGTGCACACGAAACTGTTGGACGTGATTTATTCATTTTTGTTGTAATTGATATGGAACGAAAGAGAGGTGGAGTAAAAATTACTTCGGTAGTTGCAAGTGTAGCTGTGGAATATGAGGTTTCAGGTTTGATTAAGATGAAATAGTTTTTTGGTTGGATTGTCTGGTATAGAAATTTATTACCACAACTGAAGAGCAGTTAAGGTATTTTTGTTATATTAATCATTTAATAGAAAAACTAGATGTTAAAATGTATGAGTTCATGATGACGTCATACCTACTTTTATTTAAAAAAGTAATGTCGTGGGGAACACATTTACAGTAAATGCTGCCTACATGCATATAACAATTATGATTCGAGGAATTACGAAGCATGGTTATTATGAATTCACGGTTTTTATTATAAGAACTAAAACATAAACTTTTCCGATTCCCATAAACCTTGGCATGGTATGGCACACCGTCTAAGAAGTCATTACCACGGTAACAACACATGAACAGTATCAAACGAACAATAGACATCGAACTAATTGAAACAGACATCGGCAAAGCAAATAAAAACCGCTGCAATTACTATAAACTTTACGTAGAAGCCGCAACATTTTGTACTCACGGTAACACACTAAGATAAGAAAAACCAGTCTAGACTGACTGTGGGATGTACGAAAAGATTATACAAAGCGAGACCATAATATACTGGTTTTGTATAGCTCTCATTGTTAATAGAATATATTATGTGAGAATAGGAACAACTTTAATGATGTGCATCTGGATCTGAAGCCGTTAGACACAGTTATGATGCCACATTTGATGCTTGGTCACTAGGTAGTGTAAATAATGGTATCTTTGAGACAGATATGGCTGTTACTAAAGTGTACAGTGGGCCTAACATGAGAGTCAGACCGCTACCCTACGGTAGCGAAGTAATCATGGGTGTTGTTAGTACGGCTAAGCTTATAGGATAGCTTTTATTGATTGCTAAATTAATGAAGACATAGTCATTGATATTTGTGTAGAAGACGATGATTATAAAGACGCGTATTGGTTAAATACTGAATCTGTTACTGATACTGGTCGTAAAATGCAACACAATCATTTTTAGTTTGTTGACTTGAAGGATGTAATAAATGAGTTTGCGGCCATCAAAATCAGTGGCGTGTCCATCCTTGCAACAGTGCAGACTATGCAATATTATAACAAAATTATGTAGCAATGAAGATGCTAGGAATGGGAGCAGCCACAGTAATTACTTCAAAGAATGTTAATGAAGCAGACGCAATGACTGCGCGTCCTATCGATCCGCCATCTTTTAATAAAAGGATGCCCTTAATTTTGAGTTATGTATAATTTGTTTGTTATGTAAGATTTCTTTTATAATTGTTTATAAATTCATTATTGAACAATTCATTCATTCATTCATAACATCACGCCTTTTATCCCCGAAGGGGTAGGCAGAGGTGCATATTATGTCACTGTACAATGTAACACCCACTTTTCACTATTTATGTTATGAGTCCCATATAAAAGGCTCAGGCAATAGGCTCACCCGAGCCTGTTGCCATATACTGGGCACATTTTCAGACTCCGTGCTACTACTGAGATTTTTTTTTTAAAACCCAATAATACTTAGCTCTACCCCAGAATCGGCCCCTTGCCCGGCAGTCGCATTTGCGACCAGTCGCCAACGAGGCAGTCTATTAAACGCGTTTATTGAAGAAATTTACTGAAAACTGCGTCTTTTCAGGTTTATTGTGTTAAAGTTTAAACTAATGTTCGATTTCTTTTTATTTTGTTGTTCACAAAGCATTGGATCTCTTATTAATGTAAAGGCTTCGCAACATAAATCCTAAACATTTTTTAAGCCGCATCTTTTGTCCACAGACTTATATCCTTGGAAGTGACGCCTCGTCCTGACGTGCAATGTGACACGATAGCCTGGCGTCTGGTAGGTCTGCTGGGTGCAGACCAGAGTTCTGGCTTAAGAGCCAGGACGTCTCGTCTGGCGAGCTCGCTTGTCCACTACACGCCAGACACAAGAGATGCCATTGACGCAAGGAGAAGACAGCTAGATGCTGCTGTTCAAGGTAAAGTATTAAAAGTTTGCATAAAAGCAGAAGTGACTTGGTAGATCAAATAAATCGTTAAGAAAATGTAACTTCACAAAACAATTGTTACATAATTGCTTCCATCTAAATAAAGCAGCGAGCCGTAGCAGATGATATCATAATATTTAGCCAACACTTCCATGTTAATCGAGGGATGCCTCAAGGTTTGATTTGAAACCGATTAGCTTTGAAGTTATGAATCAGCATCAAGATGGCTGGATAGTGGGCATCCTCCGACGGATGCCATAATTCAGCAGAACGAGGAAATATTACTCTAATTGCGTTTGTTTCCTTTACCTCAGCTGGGTCTTTCTCATCGTCCGTGGGTTTTGGTGCGGAACTGTGAATGCACTGTTGTGTTTCGATTTTAATGGACTGGCTTGATGTTTTGCTTTGGTTTATGTGTTGATATAAAGGCCAATGTAAACATGAAATGGAATATTATTTTTCCCGTAAATGAGATGTTTATAAAACGTTATTTTACGTAGAATCGTTCTATAAAAGTTTTTTTTTATTTTATTACGGATATCAGATTTATGGAGTAGATTGGTAAGGTGGCGTTTGTGTCGTCGAGTCGTGGCGATAAATATACCTTTCTTTCTCTTACAGGTCTAGGTACGCACGGGCTGACAGCCGACTCGAGTGGCTCTTTGATCTCCTTACACGTCGCCTTGAAGAATGAGCTGCAGCGCCATGTCGATGTTTACAAGCAGGCTCTGCACAAGTTAGAAGAGCTGGTGAGTGTTATAAACATAACCTTGGTTTTAAAGGCAGCCCCCAATGATGATACTTATCCATGTTAATTCCACATTTATTCCATCTAAAATTTACCATTAATTTCAGTCCCCAGTCACAATCACACAAGACCCTGCAGCATCATCCCACCAGCGCCTCCTGGCGTTATCACACGCTGACGTAGAGAGACGGTTGATCGACAATAAGTCACTACTGACGATAGTCGACAAGCCAGCGCTGAGGCAGCTGCCGACCCTCGTGGATGCCCTCGCAGCCAGGGTCGAGAGTGATAAAGCGGTACTGGCTTGCATTGGCCAGATTAAAAGGAGTGATCCAACTCTGGACTTGAATGATACGAGGTAAGATTTTGAGGAAACACTTGATCATCATAACCCATTGCATGTTTTTTCGTCTTTGACTTTGTTTTGGTTTAGGATTGAGGTGGTTCGTTGTGCATGCCGAATCATTGGAAAATGTTTTATAACTGAATGGATGTCGTAATATCATTTGGGAATTTCACTGTTGTATGTAATCGCATCCATCTTTACATCTTTATTCATTACAAATCTATCTTAAATTACAAGTTTAACAAATAATTATTCCGTTTGCGTAGGAAACCCATTAATCAGGTGACAACAAAGCCACGCCATGTTGTGATTACAATAAAATGGCCATAAATTAAAACTGCTGAACAAAAATCAGTTTCAAAAAAAGTTATTTTGAAATGTTAAATCGTAATTATTTTAGAAAGTGGTCGCTCGACTTTCCTTCCACTATATCATTTGTGAGTTAAATTAAATTCTCTTGAGTTTTGATCAAGATCCGTTTGATTTATTTATTGATTAATTAGATTACTTTCATCTCGTGCTCTTGTGTCATCTGATAATGATGTTACGTGATTTTGATGTCATATTTGGATTGATTGGAAACTGGTTCTTGTGTGATTCGATAGCATTAGTCTTGTCTCCTAATACATGGATATTTGAACATAGCTAACGAAAATTACTCAAGCATTAAATAGAATACACGCTAATCTACGTAGATAAATCTTTTGAGGACTAAATGGTTGCGAATTTCTTACAACTATAGTTTTTAGCATATCCTAATGTCAATAAATTACTAGAGATGGTAGATAGTAGCTCTTTAATCAATTCCTAAGTATATATTTGTCCTTTTACGAAAATTATACGGAAATTTTAAAGAATAGATAAGTCAGTGAAATACATTTAATAATCTACCCGGTTTGATATCATTATGTAAAAGTACATTAAGATCAGTTCATGCAACTGCAACTGTAAATACCACAGCAATTTACGATGTGCTTAAGATGACAGTAAACATCGACGCAGCTAATTGCAGTTTCATTAAAACAGTGAACCCTGATATTTTAATAAGTGATTATATCAGTTTATGTGGACATTATGACGTAACCGTTTAACTGTTTATTTGGTTATTTTGATTTTATTTATAACATTGCACAGGCATAAAGATTTCTGTTTAATTTTGGGAAAACCTTTTTTCTTTAGGAATGTGATTTATCTATTGAAGGGCAGTGACTATAGAAAATGATATAATAGGTATAGGCACCGAATAAGTTAGTAAGCCTTGACTGCGTGTATTGACTCGATATCCCCTTTCGCCTCATCAAGACGGTTGAAGTTATGGGATGATTTTTACCTTGTCAAAAAAGAAAAGGCCTGCCTGTATAATTCAAGTAGTGGCTAAATGTTGATCCGATAAAACCCTAGAGTTTGTTAAAGTGAGGGACAATAAATGTAAAAAGCTAGCATTTCTAACGAGGTGCGAACACAATAGTCATACACTTTTTAATGAATACCACAGATATAAGATCTGATACTATTCAAAGTTAAGCAACAATCGCCGTACTTTTCTCCATTATCAAAGTATAGAGAGACGTAATTTGCTTGGCTAGATACGATCAAGGAAAAGGAAGGCGTTACTTCACACATAATAATATATCTTGTAGGGAAATGTTTGAATGTGTGTGTGCGTGTGTGTATGTGTGTATGTGCAATAATTACACGAGTCTTTGTTGAAAATAATTTCGCATTTATTTTTCGTACGAAATGTGTTTATTCTTTTATTTTTTATTGTTGTTTATTTATGGAAGGTGTGTCGTTACGTTGGTGCTTGTGTGATGACAGATGGATTCATAGACCTACACTCTCTAGACTTATCTATATGTCGCGGAGAACCTAACGGGTAACCGGGGCTCCGGTTCGACGTGCAGGAGAAGGAACGGGGTGGTTTTTAGTCAGTAAGAGTCTGACACTCCCTCCCGCCTCACCCAGGCGGGAGCAGTCATTCGATATTGTATTATGTGATAGTTTGATGAAGTATAGAGATTGTAAACGGAATGCTCCCATTCTCGAATGATCTCTTTTTATTAGGACATTGAACAACAAGTTTAGATACTAGGGAAGTAGGAAAATCGTACTAAAAAAAAGTTATGTAAAGGAGTTTGTGATAGGATTATGATTGATGGAGGGAATCGTAAGAAGAAGACATGAAGCCTAACGACACAAAATAATTCGTGACACGAATAAGAATTAGTAGAACACTCATTGTAAAATTCTACTGTCAACTATAGGGAACTAGATATAGCATAATATGTGTATTTTCATTCATTTCCGTTAGTTGTGTTAATACGTTAATATGCGGGACATTTTTAGACAATATTACTGAAATAAAAAACGAAAATTTCAATCAATTTCAAACCCTACGAACACAATACATAAAATTAAACAAACTAGACTCCAATTAGTTTGGAATGCAACGTTTCTTCAATCGACCTCCAATTACGATGGGTGATGAAAATTAACGAGAATTCTACAATGGGCGCCCGTGAGAATATCACTTTGAGAACAATATTACTGATAGCCGTGAAAACTGGCCAATTATGAGTACTCTGTACATACATACTCTGGTATTTTATGGGAATTTGAGCGATCGTATTGTGTGGACTCCAGTTGTTATGCAATCTTTGTTTTTAAATTTAATTGGTCCTGGGTATGTACTTCGTTTTTTTTATGAAATTGATAATCTGAATACGGTGTCTGGTTTGATGGATAGATACTCTAAAACTCTACCGACAGAGATTTATTTTGATGCTTTAATGAGGAAATAAGAAAAAAGTGAGCTGCGCGACATCGCCACGACCGCACGCTGCTCATGAGGCCCTCTATATCTATTACTCGAAACTAGTAGAGCTTTTCTCAGTATTTTCACGTGAGTAACCGATTTGTTGTTAGTTAGATTAAGAAATATGATTTCTTTTTAAAAAGACGTTGCCCCACACTAGGATTTTCTCCTGTGTCGTGGGTGCGTTTACAAACATACAAGTTCACGTACACAATGACACCCAGACCCGAATTTTGAACAACAGTTTGTATATTAGGATCTCTTTAAATTATTTTGATGAGGTCATACAATCGAGACAATTATAATATTACTAGTATCAAAACCATTCTTTCTCATACATTAAACAACATAATATTTAAATTAAAAATGTGATTAAAGGCAACATCGTAAGTATAAGGTATAGTGTACAATTATTCCGTTCATATGCATATTAGATAGTGAGGTGCAAATTATATGTGAAATGCAGTGCCCAGCAATCACTGTCTCACACAATGAGATTCCCATACACAATCCCCCGTATTACGGTATGAACACCGCGCATGCGCATAAATTAACGCGGCCGTACTTAATACACGTATCATATCACTACAATTATTTTAAACGCTCTGTATCATTTTAAATTATTGTCAAGCTTCATTGGACAATAAGCCTTATGCTATATGAAATAAAGTTCATTTGTGTATTACTTTGTGTTGGTTTAAAATTTTCTGTTAAGCTTCATTGGACAATGAACTTTATTTAGTGTGAAATACGGTTAATGTTAGCAGTTTATTATCGTTTTTGAGCTCGTGTATGAAGATGAATATTTAATATAAGATATCAGAAGTGTGATTATTGTTGGTAATAAAAAACTGATTATGTGGAGCGAATTGTTAACTGGGTTCTGTATACTTATTGGCGATATTCTTCGACTAATATTCTTTTGTTTGACGAAGTGACTCGATTAGTGTCTCTATAATTATAATTTATTGATTTTTTTTTCAATCGGGCACAATTCCAGACTCCGTGCTACTACTGAAAAACCTATTAATACTTTGCCCAGCCCGGGAATTAAATCCGAGATCCCTTGCCCGGCAATCGCACTTGCGACCACTCGGCAAATGTGTAAGAAGTCAGTATCAAAGAATAGTTTAAGTTATAATACATAAAAACAACATTTGATTTTTGACATTAACAGTAATTGAACAAATAGACCCCATGCTACATTAGCAAAACCTGGGTGCTTACTCTTAAAACCAATCTGAATATCAATGCAATTTTAATTCAACAAAATCACAATACTTAATTATTCAATGTCAAAACTGTACAACCCCTATCGTAGCTGTTGAAATAGCATTCAGAGTACGGGATATAAAGCCAAACTCAACACCATTTAGTTCATTCAATATCCACGCAATACAGATGCAATGGGCGCTAGCGATGCAATTCAAGAGTACGAAAGTTCACAATACCAATGTCGATCGATCGGAATTGGATTCAAGAGTAAGCCCTCTGTTGAGCAAAATACAGTAGCCTTCATTAGGAGATTTCATAAAGAGTTAAGGGATCCCTAAATAATTATTTAACACTGACATAAGAGAGAAAGCCAAACGTCGGCATCGTGTGACACATTGCGTCACTTTATTATACGACAAGTATTTTGTGCGTTTGGTGAAATCTCTCTCGGAAACGCTAATCATTGATGTTTTAGTTTAAACCTGTTCGTTATATTATGTTTGTATGTTGTTCATTAATATTTATGTTGAATGCGTTAACTGCCTCGTTGGCCGAGCGGTCGCAAGTGCGACTGCCGGGCAAGGGGTCTCGGGAATTTCCGAGTCGGACAAGGTTATACTGGGATTTAAAAAATTCTCAGTAGTAGCACGGAGTCTGGAATTGTGCCCGGTATATGGCAATAGACTCACCCCCTATTACATGGAACTCATAACATAAATAGTGAAAAGTGGGTGTTATATTGTATAGTGACATTAAGTGCCGTAATGTGCACGTTTGCGTAGCCCTTCGGAGATCGGGCGACTCATGAATTCATTCCAAAAGTTTATCGTGAGTCGCATGTGAGTTCTTGGACAGTTAATTTGTTAACGATCTCGGAAACGGCCGCAACGTTTTTCGTGTTCGCCTTTATGAAGATTAGGTTTCAGAAAATGCCGTTTAATAACACCGGTCAATAATGCAAAGCTCGGTCTTCAAAGCTCGGACATCCAGGTGCTAAAATTAATATGGTTTTGACACAAATCTCATTGCGTACTAAAATCTTTTTATACAGATAGATGGGTACTCCCAGTTCCAGTGCTAACTCTTCATCTATTATCAAATTACTATAAACATGATTCTATAACAACTATCGTGGGACATACTGGAGTAACTAAAGATGACGGGCTACTCACGTGAATGTACTGAGAAAAGCTCAATTCTAGGCTGCGCGACACCGCCGCGACCGCGCACGCTGCTCATGAGGCAGAGTCCCTCTGTGACTCGAAACTAGTAGAGCTTTTCTCAGTATATTTACGTGAGTAACTCGTCATTTTTAGTTGACTATAAACATTCACGAATTTTACCTTAACCTTCATACCAACCATTCTTCCAACATGATCAAACCATTTCAATATTCTTAATTCACCATTCATGAAACTATTATAATTTGTTCAATATATTGTCAGTTCTAATGCAAAAGAAATAAAGTTCAAAATAATTTCAGATTTGTAAGTAATGTGGTGATGTTTTGCTTATTAACTTACTCCTTCTATACTTACTATGATTTGTTCAATCGATTTTCAACTTTAACCTCCAATTCAGTAAAGTTTAAAATTATTTTGAGATAAGAATACGTTGTTATGATGTCTAGCTAATGAACCTGCTATGATTTGTCAAGTGATTTTCAACTTTAATGTTTAAATCAATAAAGTTCAAAATTAATAAAGTTGATCTGATGTTTGTATGTTTATTTATATATGAAGTTGTTTAACCCAGCATGGCGGAGTCGGGCACGAAGGGAGGCACCACGTTGAGGCGAAAGAAGAAAATGACAATAGTCCACTGTGACTACGACGAGGGGTGAGTGCTGCTCCCCTCTAGGAGGGATTCACGGGGTTTCTATTCGTATTGGGTTCAAAATTCTAATTTAAAGTTCAATATGGGTTGTTTGAATAACACCTTTGTAGAGGTATTATCTGTGGGGTATAAGTACCCTTCATTTCTTGATTTGTTGAATTTGCAATCGATTTCACGATTTTGTGTCTAATTTCAATAGTTTGATCATTATTCAGTGCTGCCTAACATCACATTATAGCACTGTAGAATGAGTTCAATAGTGCATGTAGTTTTTGAAATCACAGGACAAAAGTATTGCCCCGGCACTAAACACGTCGTACAAGAAAGGAACAAAAGTTTTAAATCTAGCTTGTAGTACTAGCCACGAGATGGGGCTCAGTTGACTAAGTACTAACTCCTAAAGTATCACTTACACATTGGAAATAAATCTCCAATCTTAAACTTTCCACTATAAAAACAATCCAACTTATCGGAAAACTCCCACACTTCAAACTAAACCTTACAATCGATATACGAAAGTCGAATTTTCATTAAAACATTCACAGAGAAAAGTAAAAGATGAATTTATAGTGGCATACATCGTATTGTTCGAACAGAAACATGGAAAGTCAGTTTCCACTTTCCAAACTGGTTAGAGAAGAACATACCAATAATTTCATCCATAGTTTTAATAAATAATATATTTCGTAACTGTCCATAGTAACACGATGTTTGGAATAAGGCTCTGCATGCAGAGCTCACTCACTCTCTAGAGAGAGACGCTCTAGTCTAGTTACAGTCTCCTATTATAAGGGCTATTTTAGTCCTTATATCAGTGTGCGATTTATTTATAGAGAAACAGTCTAATAGGTGTTATCATTAACAGCACATGTGAAAAATGTCAGTAGTGAAATGGGGGCACCCATTTATTAGGTGACCAAAATGGAATACCTCCTAAACGATTATTAGACAATGCCCAAGGCTGACGTGTACATGTGTTTTTTTGAACTAAGTCTTAGCGTCCGTCCACATCTGACGAAAGCGCAGTTCCCGCGCTGCTCGTGACCTGCTCGCGAGCTGTACGCGTACATATTTGTTCGTGCGCGGCAAGTGCGCCGTTCGCGCGCGAATTAAGCGCCGTATGCAGTCAGTGCGCGAGCGGCGCGCGTGCTGCTCACGCGGAGTACAAAGTACTGAGCCAGTAAACGGAAATGTAAGAACTGAGTGCAGATTGCGCGCTGCTCGCAAGCCTTATACGAGCCTTATATGAGTTGCGTTAAAGAGGCACGCCAAATCATTGCCGTAACTGCAGGCGTGCAGCTCGCGAGCGGCGTATTCACCAGATGTGGACGCACCCTAACATTCATCTCAAAATTACACAATGTTGTTTTATGTAGATTTCTTGCTATATTATTACTGAACGACCGTTTAAGTGTAAACGTCCATTTAGTTATAATACGATATCTTTTGTTCATGTCGAGTATCATTTGAGAATACTAAATACGGAAATGAAGCAGCTTTGTTATGGAGAACAGTAGCTGACGGTCAGCAGCAACCGTGTAATGTGCTAAAGTGCCTATTAATGATGGGCTAGAATGGAGGGGCCATTAGAAACTTACTAAGTTGAACTGTTATGCTTATTGTTCTATTTAGATGTAGGAAGAGCGTAACCGGTATAGTTCCTTTCAACATTTTTAGTAATAATTCGTTAAATTATTAATCAGGATGTGGGATACTTAAAGTTATCGCACACCTATCAAGCACGTCTCCAGCATGGCTCCAACCCAGAAATGTCATTGTCATTTAAATATAAACTTTAAATCGTATGTCGTATGACATTATTTCATAACGCAAATAATTGTTCTCAAGGCAAAAAATTCCGTGCCGTGTTTGAGCCATACCGTTGGGGCCATGCTCGTTAGGTGTGGCCTTCAATAGGTATAATGATAATAGGTTAAGTACAGGGGGCCAAGTTATTTGGTACGCAGGTAACAAAATATAGATTGATTTAGAGACAGCAGCTATATTTATCCTAAATTGTACGTTTTTACGTAGCTGTATCATTAGTAACTATTGACTGGTCAAATAGCTGACTGTACAATTAATGCCAAATACTTACTACCTACTCACAGACAAAATCCACGACACGGGAGAAAATCCTAAGGTAGGGCAAGGTTTAAAAAAACAAATTACAAAAAAAAAAGAAAAGCGTCTAGATACCGGGAATAGAACCTATTTAGCTATAAACCTTAGCGACGGGGCTTACGATTACAAGATCGTCAATGCAAACCAATCAAATATACCGGAGTCAGTCACCGAGGACCGAGCCGTTAAATGACCAACAACCAATTAAACTGCATGTCTTTTCTAAGAAGTCAGGGAAAACTCACATAAACCTGCCCATCACAATATAATGCGCCTACGATGGAAATGTTGCTATAAAGATTATTGATTACATATACAAACGTAATGTACTTGCTTTGGCTAAGTATGTGCGCGACGGTGGCAACGCGTAGCGTTTACAACATTTACGGAAGCTGTCAAATAATAACAATGTAAACATTATAATTTTCTTTGCAAATATAAATATAACCAAAGATTGAAATAGTATTATAAGTGCAATTTATTCAATAGTTTTACAGTAAAATGAATATAATAATAAAAACGGGGTTTGCACCATCCGCATTTGTTTCCAATTTCTGCCACTGCTCGCTTTGCACATAGCTAATATACGTACGTTAGCTTCATATTGCTCAGCGTTTTATATAAGGCGCGTACACTGTTCATCAACCAGGAATTTAGTTAAAATAGTGTTTTTATTATTTAATTTTATAACATTCTCGTGAATTTACACAGAAAAATTGATAATGACTAGTTCTGTAGCTTATTCTACAATTTGATTCAATGATGGATGAGTCTTAACACAACGAACAACACGCTATCTATTGAATTTGACTAGTTGGCAAGAACCCAATTGTTACAAGATCAGTTGTTTGTACTTGTATCTCTAGTTCCGTTTGTAATTAATATCGTACACAAGGGCTGACATGTTCCCAAAACACACAAATCCCGATCTAAAACTAAGCCCCGTTAAAGCAACGGAACCACAAAATCAAATTAAAATTCTCCACATCTTATGAAACTCGGAAACAATAAGTTTCCCATACATTTCTCCGTTGTGTAAGTTTTTATAGTTGCAGTGAGCATTGTTAGTCAGTTTACGATCAGCAGTTCGTGGGAACATGCTGGTTAATGTTAGGGCTGCACTGGTTACTGGTTCACTCCGGTTATGTGATGTTTTGGAGAAAAGCTTTTAGAAATGGATGGCATAACTCTAGGTGTTACGAAGAATGGAAGGTGTGGAGCTGTGCACGTGGTTATCTAATCGTAGATACAAAATGACGCCTGATTAGTAGATTACAATGTTCGTCTTTACATTACGCACTGTAACTTCCTCCTAAATTGTATGTTTTTGTTTTAATCTAGTTTTTGATAATTTTGTAAAATTGACGGGTCTTTACCTACATGTTGAATTTTAGCACAATATGTCACATTGTACTTCATAGGGTATGAGAATGGCAAGAATTTTATCAAATGTAAACAAAAGCACGAAAGTATAGGAGACGTTTAATAACGTCATGGCTTTTACCTCTCGAAAGGACACCTAGAGGTGGTGTACGGCCGCGGAGGATTTAACGGGTTGCCGGGGCTCCGGCTCAAAGGGCAGGAGTAGGAACGGGGTGGTTTCTAGTCAGTACGAGTCTGACACTCCCTCCCGCCTCACTCAGGCGGAAGAAAAAATTTTTTGATTTTTCCCTCTTAAAAAAGAGGTGATATACAACTGCACAATGCACGTTTCAAAATATAGGCACACCCACATTTCGCCAGTTATGCAATATATTCCACGTATTGAGGCAATTCTATTGCTTATACACCGAGTTTTTAGATTCCATGTTACTACTTACAGATAAAGCCCGTCTGGGAAGTCCCAGAGCAACACCTTGATTAACAGTCACGCACAACCAACGTTCTTGCAGAAATGATAACCTCATTTCCATCCCGTTTGCAGGCCAGTAGCTGGTGTGTTGATGACTTACTCCCGAGGATGCGCGGCAGTCCTCGGCCAGATGTGTGAGGACCAAGGCACTAACACAGAGTCTACCACTCCTCGCTCCACTGACTCCGCCAGTGACGGCTATCATTCAGACAGTGATGACTCACAACAGCATCCCGACAGGTAAGCAGATCTCATAATCTCTTCAAGTTCATTTTTTCAAACAAATTATGAAGGTCCTGAATCTCCAGTTAGTACCAGACTGTAGAAAGCAGACTAAAGAAAATTTCTTCGAGTAACATTAAGGTTCAAGGTTGATGTTTACATATATGACGAATATTTGACATAACATAACATCATGGCATTGTATAATGTAACACCCACTTATGACTATTTATGTGAGCGTGAACCTTTTGCTAATATTGAATATCTCTTATTTCAAAAAACACGCCGCCACACCAGAACAGATCCTGCAGTTAAATCGCAAAGACTAACTAATATGTATTCTTTTTTGCATGAGCACGACAAGTTGAATGTCAAATTTTACGTCCGACAGTTTGCACAAAGACTAACTAAGAAATTATGTGTTTGCTTTGCAGAAGTAAGCTAGTATCCCAGTACGCGGCGGTGTGGTCCCGAGCAGCAGACGAGGCGATCCCCGCACTGTCAGCGCTGGAGCCACTGCGTCACACGCCGCATCTCAAGTATAAGATCGTCTTCTCCGTCGTTGTTGTGAGTATCTCCATCTATTTGTGTATCACTCTTTAAGTTTGGTAGGTTCATATGAGTGGCAGTATTCATTAGTAAGGAACTTGAAGTAAGGGATAAGAACTAAGAATAAAGAAATGTATATCCGTTTAATTTTCATATCAATATTTTGTTGAGACTGGAAGTGAGTCTGTTACCATATTACAGCATCCATGTAGCTCTGTTCTAGATTAAACAAATGGGTCATGTCAAAGGATCTACTTTACATTTTCTTGACCTCTGAACCTCCATAAACACACTGTGTTATCCTTAAAAGAGACAATTCGTGCTTTGTTTTTTTTTGTTATAAATGTTATCAACTTTCTTTGTATTATCCAAAGGCCGAATTTTGATAAGTTTATATTGAAATCTATGAATCACCTTCCGAAATGGCGTCACGTGCGATATCCTTGTATTTAGTTCTATTCGATGATAGTGTTTACAAATATGCGTCCATCATACGACTGACTCATCGATTTGTTATTATCACTGTTACGTACGACATGTTGAAGCCTGATCTACCCACTGAAACCTTTTTCCTCTAAAAGAAAAACATTTTTCATGTAACCCCTATTTTTACCCGACTGCCAAAGAAGGAGGGTAATGTTTTTTATGTTATAGGTCGACGTTTGGCCACCATCTTATATTTTTAATTTTATGACCGAAGAAGTTGTAATTTAAAAATAAAAACAGTAGTGATAATGTTTTATTAGAAGCGTTTAAAATATCTGGGTAAAATAAACTAAAAAAATCAACCTACCGGATTTATGTGGATTCTGGACAGTGTGGTGTGAAACAGTATGCTATTCAAATCATGTCAATTGACATCCGTACTCCAAAGGGATGTGGCGATATGTGTGTATTCTATGACTTGGCTAAGGCTTTTCAAACCTTCACTTTGATGAAGAAACATTATTTCAACTTGATTTTTTTTCTTTTCTAGTTATCGTTCCGCGCAGTCATCAGTCTCCGCGACCGTCGTCTGAACGAGCTGAGGGCAATGCTGGGCGTGGCGGAGGACGGACCGCCGGAGCCCTGCGTCACCCGGATGCTGGCCGCCGCCACCAGGGTACTGCACACCACTGCGCACAGCTTCCCGCTTGGAGAAGCTGAGCGAACTGTCATTAATCAGGTCAGTAGCATTGCCAATATAATATGATAGAATAGGTGTTACTGAAATCAGATTTACGTTTTTTATACTAGCAGTATATGTATCAGAGACTTCCTTCTATCATCTGCTGATTCATTCATTCTTTTTAATCAACCTTCCAAAAAGGAGTATGTTCTCTTGATATGAAATCATTTTGACTTCATCTGTTTCCATACCATATTCAATCTTACACCCTTCGCGTCTGAGGCGAATGTTGTGTAATTTTGTCGATTCAAAAGAAGTTAAGTCTTTGGAGCTTTTCAGTGGTTATGAGTTTTATATAAATACTATTTTAGAGAATACCTTATTAAATAAATTCCTAACCCCCAGGTGGTGAGCACACTGCGCGAGTACCCGTGCCTGTCGTCATGCGCCGCGCTGCACGCGCTGGTGGCGGCCGCGTGTCGGGCCGCCTGGACCATCAGTCTGCACTCCCCACCGCTCAGGATTGACACTGACTTCACACCTGGTGAGACAAATCACAACATTCTGAAAGAGTCAATAAAAAGAGGGCTAGAAAAGAAGCACTATAATAAATAATCAAAATATGAGTGCCTATCGATCTTCCAGTGAAGTTATAAGTTCATTCAAACAGGATTTGGTCTATTGTGCATCATGTTTAAATACGATGTTATCAAGTATAATGGTGGATGACGTAAATGTGATGTTAAATAAGAATATCACTTATTCGTTCCATTAGCAGCCAGTTCTGGCTCTTAAGAAAAATGTGTTTTACATGTTCTTCAACTCCGTAAACTATTTCGTCTGTCGCTGTAAATAAAATTATTTTTAAAGTTAAAACAAACCTGAACATCATTAATCTATTTCTTCTTTCCAGTGGTGATGAATCCAGAGAAACACGTGCGTTTCTCGACAGAGACCCGAGACGTCCGCGACCGGCGCTCCGACCTCATCAAGTCGTTCGTCTGGCCTGCCCTCATGGACGGCAACCGCTGCGTCTTCAGAGCCGTGGTACTCACCTGATGGACTATCTTCCAAGTCCTGCCACCTTGGAGATTCATCGACATCACCATGTTTATCCACAACTATTTGGAAAGATTCATTGATAAATATTTATGGAAAGGTCCCCTTTTCTTTTCAATCATGGATCCTATTGGATTCTGAAGCAGCTCTTCCAATGTTTGTGAATAAGGAAACTTGTCTAACGATATATTATTTAATGTTTTCCACAAATAGTCATGTCTATATTGCACTATATTGTGTTGTGAACTTCACAGTTATTTTGTAATGTTTACAAGGACGTTTGGAGTGGAGACTATTGGTCTATGATCAAGTTCCATTATTTATGATGTAATTGCAACAAGGCGTCGAGTGTCGTTTCTTGTCTTTCACGGTACTGACACTTTTTTGATTTTATTCTAATCATGAAAAAATGTTTGAAAAATTGTATGTTTTGACCTTTCGGTGAATTTCGTCAGCTATGTATACTCCTCATAAATTTTCTTTAGCAAGGGCATTCTTGTCAATTCTGGTACCATTCAAGCTTCACATTTGAAACTGTTCATACATTTTTCTCATTTCACTGTAAACTAAGTAATTGTGTTTGTTCACAGTTTTTAGTGTATTTAAAGATTTTGTATGATATTAGATTGACTGAATTCAAGCAACATTATGTATAAAAATACAGTAAAAGGTGATAAGTAAATTATTAATGATTCAGACGATATATCGGAATTAATGACGACGTACACGTGACGACGAACACAACAATTAGTACTTCACCGAAAGAAACAGGACATACATACCGAATTATCGACACGACAGAATCTGCGTCATTTAATGAGAAATGTATTATCCCTTGACTAAGCAGCGGATTGTTTGTTTCTTATCAATAACAATAAAACGTATGCCGATGTATATATCGCTAGCTATACATATTTATATCACGAATTATCTTCTTGTACAAAATGTCTTCTAACTTTCTCTGATTAATGTAAGTGTTTCATGTAGTTATTAACTAGACGTAATAAATTATTACTTAATTTGTAACATTAACACTGAACAATAAATAATAATTTAAGCGAAAGTTGTGTTGTTTGATTGCCAGCGAGGCGAGCACATGATTCACACACGTATCAGTACGATTAGATAGGAGACACACCAGCTCTGATATAAGCTGTGCACTTGATCGAACATTCATCAGTATTGTGTGAAATACAGTGCAATCATGAGTTATTCTGGATCTGGACATCCCTACGCCTACGGCCCCCCACCACCCGGTGGTTGGCCACCACCACCCCCGCAGCCGACCATGTACCCGCCACCCCCTGACTTCGGGTACCCTCCGTCACAGTACCCACCACCTCCCTCGTACTACGTGCCTGGTACCGTGATGATCCCTGTTCCCGTACCACCATCACAGCCACCTCCACCTGAACCCACTCCATCACAGTCTACTTACATCACCAATTACATCTACCACGGTGAGACCACTGTCACTCCGTCAGGAGATCAGACGGTGTCAATCGTGGAGGCCCCCGGAGAGTACGACTGGGTGCCTACTACCGCGCTACTGGCGGGCTCCTTGACTGGTCGAGCAGTTGTAGGAGGACATGAAGGTTGGGACGGAAGTCCCCTGTGGGTGATCCGTGCTTGGCACAATGGAGATCTGATGCCGGGCAAGCTGTCCGTGCGACACAACGCGGCCTCGGTTGTGTACGCCGGGAAGGAGATATCAGTGCAGAACATCGAAGTCTTGTGTGCCAGGCCCGAGGATCTGCGCTGGGTTCCTGCCTCAAACGGTAACGTACCTCCTGGAGCAATTCCTGGAGGTAGGACTTCTTCAGGCGAGACTCTATACGTCGGCAGGGCAAGGTATCAGCTCTCTGTGACCCCGGGTAAGATCCACCCGAGCCACAACTCGTGTTACATCGGTTTCGCTGGGCAGGAGGTCGCTCACAAGATGTACGACGTGCTCTGCAGGATCAGCTGATCGCCTACTCTACAACTGTGATTCCGAAAATGTTCAAATTATGTGATTATAGACTCTAGTATTAAGTGATAAGAACTTGTATGTGTTTGTCAGGATCATTGCCTGATGTAGAACGTGTGCTCTATATATTTTGTTGACAGCTTATGGAAAATATCTTCCCAAGGTTGTGAAGTGTGTCTGAATAACGAAGTTCTTACATTCTGAAATCATTAAAGCAGTATACAATGTTAACAATTACTCTGTTTTGTTTGTACAAAAATATAAAATGATCTTTATTCCCTTCGAGGAAAATTGTATGTTATATAAAAGTATTAAAAATAAAAGATATGAAGTTTGATAGTATATCGAGTTTTCTTTGTATTGTGTTATAAGTAGGTGTCCGATAAGTTATCGCAGGCAGTATAAGATTAGGCGACTATCTGTCGAATAACAATGATAACGACAATCCTATGTACTAGGTGCGCTCAATTTATTTGTATTATATATTTCATCATCACATATTTATAGTACCGATAGACTTGTTTCTCCTAGTCTGCTTCCAAATATTTAAAGGTCGACATTGAAATTCGACTGAATATCAGAAAGTAGATGCTGTGACTTTAAAATAGAGACATACTTTCTTTTACCTTTTAAATGTTCTGCAGATATACTTTTGTTTTTAAAACATCTGTTGCTAGCAGTGGTAGTACCTTTAATTGGTTATCACCAATAATATAGAACAGGTTAAGACAGGTATTATGGTAGGACCAGGTGGCTTACTCTTGAATCCAATTCTGATCGATCGACATTGGTATTGTGAAATCTCGTACTCTCCAGTTGCAACACTAGCGCCCATTGCATCCTTATTGCGTGGATATTAAATAAACTAAATGGTATTGAGTTTTCAGTTTGGCTTTATATTCCGTACTCTGAATGTTATTGTAACAGTTACGACAGGGGTTGTATAGTGTTGACATTGAATAATTATTGAGATTTTATTGGATTGAAATTGCATTGACATTGAGATTGGTTTCAAGAGTAAGCACCCAGGTTAATACAGGTACTGCAGGTATTATGAATAATCTGATGACATTTATTATGTTATGCATTTATATGTAACGAGCGTCGTCTGCGACAATCAAATATAATGACATCACCTCATCAATTGACTCTCATTCATCACCACAACATACCAACACACTCAACTCAATCAAAACTCAATCTTACCCCAACAGAATAAGATCTATTAAAACTGTAAATCATCTTAGTACGCCATCAGCAGGTGCACAAAGTTATTGATACATTTCTGCCAAAGAATTTTAGTCTTTATGCAGTTGTGTTAAGGTGAAAGAGTGGTGATATATGGGCAGGTATGTATGTGATATCCCATGACTCTATTTGACCCCGTCAAGTGTGTGTGAGATAGGTGCTGGGTTCAGGAGACAGTTTGCAAGTTGCAGCTGTGTATTGGAAAACCATGGCACATTAGGTGAGCTTTATGATTGAGTAGTTGCCAGATGTACTTCCGAAACTCTGAGCAATTGATGGAGACTAAGATATTTAACATAATATAACTTCACGCCTTTTATCCCCAAAAGGGTACTTAATACCACTGTACAATGTAACACACAGTTTTCATATGTTACGAGTCCCATGTAATAGGGGGTGAGCCTGTTGCCGTATACCAGTCACGTTTCCAGGCTCCGTGTTAGTACTGCAATTTTTTTTAAAAACCCAATAATACTTTGACCGACTGAGGAATCGAGACCCCTTGTCCGGCAGTCGCACTTGCGACCACTCGGCCACCGAGGCAGTCACTGAGACTGTAGTATTTTTTTTCTATACGGGGTAAGCCGGTAAACGAGCAGACGGATTAGCAATCGGCGGCCTACGGACACCAAAACCACTATGGGCGTTACCAGTGCGTTGTTGGCCTTTTAGGGATTAGGAATTTGAGGATTGTTGGAAATTCGGGGACACTGGGGAAGGGGATAATTGGGCCTTCGGTAACCTCACTCACATGAAGAAATACAATGTAAACGTTGTTTCACGTCGATTTTCTGGGGCCGTGGTGTCATTCCGGTCGAGCCAGCCCATGTGTGCCGAAGTATTGCTCTCCCATACTTTTTCAGAACTAGCATAAATACAACAAAAGAAAGGTCTTTAAAATCAAATGAACCATTTATGAGTATATATGTAGTAATTTTCGGATCAAAAAACCTATTACTAATACTAAAACTAAAAATAATAAACAGATAAACGAATGTGTCATTAATACCTAAGAAGGGAACGTCGACATTCCTTAAAATGGTTTCGTTGCGATGACACACGACACGTATGTACGTGTATCTTATCATTTAATTGATGATTAACCATCACCGATAAGAATAAATTGACGTGCTAGTCCTAAACAAGGATAATAATAAAGACGAAAGTAAATTTCCCTAAAGCGAGTTACTCGGAGAAAATTAATCAGTGTTGACGAACAGAGGACGGTCCCCAGTCAGATGGTCTGACCAGCTGAAGGACAATCCAGGATCGTGATTCTACACCCCACAATAAATGGCCGTAGACAAGTGCCGATGGAGTCCCTTCGTCCGACCCAGAGAGATGCGAGGACGATCACGATCCTCAGTCAGGAGGAAATGACCGAAGAAAATCATGTTAAATGAAATATTTTTACCTAAACGTAAATACATAGTATGGATTCATTTTATTTTTCAGAGGATAGAGACAGAGCTATCTTAGTGCCTCGTTTTTTTAGTTATGTAACTGGCCCCACTAGAGTCAGGGACAAAGTTAAAGTACTGTTACACATGATAATTTCAAGCACGGAAGCATGCTTCAGTTGAGCACTTGTCACTTAGTAGTATGTGTTGCTCACAATTAGTATGTTCATTTCAGGCATGTTTCCGAATCAACAGGTGTTCGATTTTAGAGCATTATTGAGCATGCTCAATAGAACGCCTTTTGGCACACTATTTTATTCATAATCAACAATTTTTGAATATTGCTGGGCACAGACCAAAAGTACCGCTCCAATAACACGATCGAACAATGGTCTTTCAATCAACCTTTCGAACTCATCCAAATAGTACTGGCCACTTTATAATGGCCAACAACAATACTTTACCAATATAATAAAACAAAGATAATTTTAATTTTCAATAAACAATCACAGTTCGGAAAATTAAAACTAAAATTAAGACCAAACTGCGAATTATCCACGAGTCGTAACATCTAAACTATAGCAGATGACCAATCAAGCTAATTGTGTCCAATCCGTTGTGTCACACACGGGTCTGTCGGTTGAGGGTCGGCAGAGAGGCAGGTCGTATCGACCTTACCCACGACAGGGACGGCAATATACAGAAAACTATCAGTGTGAGTGAGACGAAAATCTATTTACAGTGGAAAATCACATAAAGTTGTGAAGTGAATGTAGCTGTGTTTTGATTTTGGATCTTGTTTTCGTAAGTGTTGAATATGGAATATTTAATGATCTCGTAAGTCAATAACGTAGTTAGAGTGTTTGTGGACATGCCATACATGTGTGATGATGTGTGCAATAGCTATAGGAACCTTTAGGCAACCAAGTGGGTTATTAGTCGATAGGTCTTTGGCGCACAGAATATTTGAATCTGTTATCATTTCTCATCAGGCTTCTCATTCACATAATAGCCATAGAAACAGAGTTTATGTAGTTTTTGTGAGTATAAATCTTTGCCAATATCATTAAAAGTTGACCAGAAAATCGAAGTACTTTCATTAATTCAATAATCTTTCCAATAATAATAATTTTCTATTAATAATTTTTTTATTCATACATGTTATCTTTAATGTTATATGGAATTTTCTGCCAGTCGCAAAACTCAGTGAAAATAATGTTTGTAGATAGACCAGATGGAAGGAATTAATGGATAGATAATAAATATTTCACAGACAATGGATAAGAAGTATAAGAGACTGGAAGAACTAGACGAAGAAGGAGTGGTGACACTGCTAGAGAAGTGGGACTTAGAGGAGTTTATAGAGTTCGCGAGGGAGAGGACGCTGGACGGTTTTTTTTTTTTTTTTTTTTTAAGGGGGGAAAATCATCGAATGACTGCCCCCGCCTGGGTGAGGCGGGAGGGAGTGTCAGACTCTTACTGACTAAAAACCACCCCGTTCCTTCTCCTGCACGTCGAGCCGGAGCCCCGGTTACCCGTTAGGTTCTCCGCGACTCCGAATCGGCATCGGCCCTATTGGGCCCCATCTGTGGTGGTCTGATGGCTCTTTGAGGCGCGCGCGGAACGCGACGCGCCGTACGCTCGGGTCTGTTTCTGGTCGGACGGGGAGCCACCCATGCTCGCCGTCCGCAGGCCCGCGCTTACGGTGGCCGGAGATCGTCCCGCGATCCCCGACGCCCGGTGTGTCCTTCGCGATGGCTGGGTTGCGAGGAGGCAGCGCTTCGCTGCCTCACGCGTCCCGCCTCCTCCTTAGCTAGCATGACTGCTTCGCAAAAGGAGGAGACGGCATCCCAATCCCCCTCGCTCCGCATCATGGCCTGCACTAGGCCCGGACGCGAGAGGTCGCCATCGCCGATCACTTCCCTGAGGACACGGCGGTGCTCAGCCCACGAAGGGCATTCTCCCACCGTGTGTTCCACCGTGTCCTCAGGGCGGTCCTCGCAGTGATGACACCCGGGCGTTTCCTCCCGCCCCATCAGACACAGGTACCTCCCGAAACTTCCATGTCCGGTGAGGACCTGCGTCAGGCGGTAGGTGAGGACGCCGTAGCGTCTCTCAAGCCACTCCTCAAAGAGGGGACTTACCGCTGCGATGGCAGCGAGCCCAGCCCTCGGTTGCGACAGTCGTTGCTGCCATTCCGCCATGAGATCGCGCCGGAGCTCATCCCGCCACGCACTTATCTGGCGCGGCAGCGGAGTTTCGCCCCGGCGACGTGCCTCCGCGCGCATGCTGTGCACGCGCGCGAGCACCTTCGCCTCCAGATCCCACGGCGGTAATCCGGCAAGGAGGTTCGCCGACTCCCCAGAGATCGTGCGGTATCCGCGGATCATTCGGATCGCCATGACCCTCTGTGCCATGAGCAGCGTCCGAGCGGGACGCCGCAACAGGTTAGGCGCCCAAACAGGGGCGCCGTAGAGGGCCATGGACCGCACGACCCCGGCGTATAACCTCCGGCAGGAGGCGTTTGGCCCCCCGAGGTTGGGGAGGATGCGTTTAAACGCAGCCCCCGTCCTCTCCAACTTTGGAGCCAAACGTCGGAAGTGTTCAATGAAGTTCCACCGACTGTCGAGGACGAGTCCTAGGTACTTCATCGTCGTCTCGACGCCGATGGTAACTCCTCCCGCCGTTATTTGGGACCCACCCGGAGGTGGCGCGTTCCCGCGGCCATGAAAACACATGGCCTCGGACTTGTGGAGCGCCACCTCGAGTCCCAACTGCCGGATTCTCTCAACGACTGTCGCAACCGCTGTCGCCATTAAGTCGGCCGCCGCCTGGTGTGACCTCCCGTGCGCTAGCACCAGCGTATCGTCGGCGTAGCATATTGTGCTAACGCCGTTCGGGAGGTCGGTGCGCAGCACCCAGTCATAGCCGATGTTCCACAGGAGCGGCCCCAGAACCGAACCCTGTGGAACACCGCGTGACATTTCTCGCCGGTTCCACTCGCCCCGGTGACCGGGGTAGCTGACGGACCTGTCCGTCAGGTAAGCCTCGATCACACGACGGAGGTAGGTAGGCACCCCATGATATCGGAGTGCCTCCAAGATGCAGCTCCAGGGCAGGGAGTTGAAGGCGTTGGCGATGTCAGGAAGCTGTTTGTAAGTAGTATTAGTTACAAAGTATTCTTATTCAAGAAATAATTATGTTGCCGGAAAATTGATTGTTTGTGTGTCTTCTCCAAAACTTAAAGATATGTTTAAGTGCCCTCTGATGTTTTGTTTTCTATAATGACATAACATAACATCACGCCTTTTATCCCTGAAGGGGTATGCAGAGGTGTACATTATGCCACTGTACAATGTAACACCCACTTTTCACCATTTATATTATGAGTCCCATGTAATAGAGGGTGAGCTTATTGCCATATACTGGGCACAATTCCAGACTCCGTGCTACTACTGAGATATTTTTTAAAACCCAGTAATACTTTGCCCGACCCAGGAATCGAACCCGAGACCTCTTGCTTGGCAGTCGCACTTGCGACCACTCGGCCAATGAGGTAGTCTAGTTCTATAATGACTAATGTTTTAAAACGAAGCGCAAAGAAAATAACTAAGCTGCAAGCTTGACGTCATATTTAATTGGCAGATGAAATTACCTATAGATCTGTGCGAGGTCAAGGGTTTAATTTAGTTAAAAATGGGTATTATAAATATAAGAAGAAAGGGCAGTAGTAAATTAACGACTGAATCCCTTTTTAAAATATTGTATACCTAATTGAAAAGATCGTTAATTGTAGCCTGTCTTAATAATTGTATCTTTAAGTAGTTTTAAAACAATTAGTAATAGATACGTAGATTGTGAGATGTGGCAGTGTGTGTTGTCTTTTAAAAAAGAAAACTTGTTGTTTATATTTTTATCTACAAGTTAATGAAGACTAGACTTACTGATCATCCAAGTAATACAATTAGGTCATAAGTACTTATTAACCTTTATAATAAACTAACGTCTGACTGCACGGTTGGTGCGGCGGTGGCTGGGCAAACGGCTGCCGTGCAACGTGTCGCGGGTTTGATTCCCATAAATTGTTGTTTCGAGTCTGGGAAATGTGGTGATGTGTATGTGAAATTGTATGTTTGTAAACGCACCCACGACACAGGAGAAAATCCTAATGTGGGGCAATGTTTTTTTATAATAAAAAAAATATATAACCTTTAAATAAATAAACAAGAGGTCATTTTATTACTACAATTTATTATCAGTATATTAATCATCTGAATGACCTATGTCCAGGATGTCAGCGAAGGAATCGTGAAGCTATGGCGACCAAAAGCAAATGCAAAGAAATTCATGACATTCATTGAAGACATGAAACTGAATCCAAAGAAATATTTAGAAAACAAAGACGACAACATAACAACGGAAAAAATTGATTTCAAAGAAACAACAGCGACAAACATACATACACAAAATATCTGCGACAAACAGGATATCGAGAGCCAGTACCAAACAGTCACGCACAGGCGAAAGGAAGGTGATGCACAAACCCACTCGATGAGCACAGTCGAAGAACTGATCAGAAGAATTGTACCAGCCAAGAGCTTCCTCTACAGAAACCAACAAAAGGCTGAAAGAACTCCTTCGTACCTGCCTATGGATGCTGGCACTCCTAAGAAAAAGAAACTTTTCAGACTCAGTTCATATGAATATCCTTTCTTCGACATAAGAGCGAGATTCTCCAGACAAGAAAGTTCAAACGACAGAGGGTACTACGCCATGAAGAGGAACAGCAGATATTACACAGCTAGGTCTTACAAGAAATCTGATTCTAGAACTAAATATAAAACGCTATCGACTCCCGAGGAATTCAGTGAAAAATGTCCAGATGATCATTTCTACGAAGACTTGTGTTACAATGAAGTTGACAAAGACAAAGATAAGCCAGTGGAACAAAGAGTAGTTAGTGTTAAACCTTGTATAGTTAAGATCCAAGAACTGTTTCAATCATTCAAAGTGCCCTTTTTTAAGAAACATGAAATGTTGGAGGATTGTCCTAGAAATATAGAAAGTGAGAAATCATCGAATATTTATGAGAACGACAGTGTTGCTAATATGTACGACTCGGTACATGTTATTAGACCTGTTGAAGATGAAGTGAACAATCAAGTAAGTGTTATTTACAGAGCTAATATATTTACTTTAATTATAGAAGTTACATTATTTTCTTCTCCACCAGACGAAGATCCCAGTTGAAGACTACCTAGAGCCGGTGCAGCTAAATAAAGACTATTGTGATGTGAACTATAAACAGAAAGATGATTCTCTACTGGGGTATATACTCAGCATCTTCGAGAACAGATTCGGGATTCGAAGAGGTAAGAATACATACATACATTCAGGCAGAGACTATGGAACACCAATTGCTACGAGGTTTACATACCTCTTTCGCTTCCTCGACAGTCATCAGTCTATTCATGCATGCTTGTTGGTTAAGGATACTCTTAATTCGGCCCTTCTTCATTGGTAGGATAAGGAAAATTTCATTAATATAAGTAAGTATCAGGTTTGTAAATTTAGACTGCAATAAGATAAATGTTATATAGACTATAATAATCAAGAAAGACTAGACTTTAATTATCAAGAAATCACATGTAATTCAGATTGGATATCTTGACCTTCACAATTCAGAGAAATAGAGATATCGATGAGGAAATTGGTACATTATAATTACCTACGATCATAGTTCGTGCATAATATAACTGTTTCTTATAAGGTTGTATATTGTATTAAAACTTCATCTTAAAATGATTTAGGAGTTTAGGAAAAGCAACATATTTTTAATAACAGGCGGTGTTTGGAGGATTTACAATATATGTAACTCATATTTGTATTGTAACTTTCGTGAGACATTATCTATCTATATATATAAAAATCAATTGCTGTTCGTTAGTCTCGCTAAAACTCGAGAACGGCTGAACGGATTTATCTTATCTTGGTCTTGAATTATTCGTGGAGGTCTAGGGAAGGTTTAAAAGGTGAGAAAAATTCGAATAATTGCCGGGAAAATCCTCAAAACAGCATTTTTCTATTTCCCATACAAACGTTTTCTAAATAAAATGGAGAGTCAATTTGTAATTTATTACCGCTGCATAAAGTTCAAATTATTTATTACGATTTATCTGAAAACCTGAAAACGGATATCTGACAGGTAACATTACTATGGTAACCAACCTGATGATTTGTAATTGTTATGGCGTCCTACTTCCATAATATATTTTGGCATCAACATATAAAAATGAAGTTCTGTGGGTTTTCAAGGAATAATATTAGTATTCAGCTGCATCAGAGATTTTAAAGACAAAATACGAATTCAATTGACTGAATACAATTTATTCATAGACTAGCCTCTGTCTGCGGCTTCTCTCGCGTTCTTTTAATGGGGTGAGGGAAGGATTTACAATAAAAAAATGAAATGATGCACGATTCTATGCTGGTCACAAATAACCCGCATACCAATTGTTAGCTTTCCACATTGAAAATTGCAAAATACCCCATACAAACTTTCACCTCTGTTTCACGGAAGTGGAAGGGGGTTAGAAAAAGACAAAAAGTAGCCTATGATACTCTCCATCTTTTCAACTATCTCAAATCAAAAACCTTCCTGACTCCGTTCTGTCGTGAAATACGGACAAACAAACAAACAAGCACATACAAATTTATATTATTAGTATACCTCTACATTTCTTAAGTCATCTGAGATTTGTGTGACAAGTGAGTTTACAAAGTCAATGTGTCATAGATTTTTTTTATACTATGGTATTAATATTAAGGTATGCAAAGAGGTTGACAGCAGTCTAAGGAGATAAAACCACGAATAAAATATTTTCAGTTTACTTGAATTCGTATTTTTTATATGTATATCAAAAAAACTAGCTAAATGCACATAGCTAAAAAATAATATTAGTCCTTTTCATTTTAGACCGTCAAGGCCAAATTCACTATGATAGTTTGCTGTTTTTTTATGGCATAAGCCGGTAAACGAGCAGACGGATCACCTGATGGTAAGCAATCTGCGCCGCCCATGGACACCTGTAACACCAGAAGTGCTAGAAGTGCGTTACCGGTCTTTTGGGAATTGGTAATTTGAGGATTGTCAGGGATTGGGGGGGCTGAGGGAGGGGTAATTGGGCCTCCGGTAACCTCACTTACACAGCGAAACACTCCTTTAGGTAACCGAGGGCTGGGCTCGCTGTCATTGCAGCGGAAAGTCCCCTCTTTAAAAGTGGCTTTAGAGAGGCCATCAATGCGAGGACCGCCCGGAGAACACGGTGGAGCATATCGTGGCGGTGTACCTTGCATGGGCTGAGCACCGCCGTGTTCTCAGGGATGTAGGAAACGGTGACCTCTCGCGTTCGGCTCTGGTTCAGGCCATGGAGCGAGGGGGATTGGGATGCAGTCGCATCATTCTGCGAAGCAGTTATGCTTGCCAAGGAGAAAGCGGAGCGCGTGAGGGAACGAACTTCCTCACGCCCCAGCCGTCGCGGGAGACACTCTGGGCGTCGGAGATCGGCCGACCACAGGCCACCGTAAGTGCGGGTCTGTAGACGAAGAGCAAGGGTAGCTCGCCACCCGACCAGAACCAGTCCCGTGCATACTGCGCGCGCCTTACAGAGCCATGACACCATCATAGATGGAGCCCAGTAGGGCTGATGCTCGATACGGTGCCGCGGGAGGCCTAACGAGTTGACGGGGCTCCGGCTCGACGAGCAGGAGTAGGAACGGAGTGGATTTTAGTCAGTAAGAATCTGTCACTCCCTCTCACCTAACCCAAGGCGGGAGAAGTGATTGGATGATTTTCCGACCTCAAAAAAAATCTCCTTTAGGTAATGACAACCCGATGTGTAAAAAACCACCAAAAAAACTCCTTATATTATTGGTATTGATTACGCTGTGGAAATTATGGACAATAGAGCCAAAGGGGTGTATTAAGTCTTATAGAGGACATTAATATCAACATTAAAGTCCATGTATCATATGTAACTAACCTAATATCAGAATACCTATTTTTTCATTTAAATGTTTGCGATAGTAACGCATGTCGTACCGGTACATATCAGGTCACATTATAGGAGAGAGGAAATCCCAAAATGACGGAAACTATGCGCTAAAAAACCAGGACTAAGGACGTTGAAATAAAGAGGGGCTCTTACCTTTTAAACCATTGAACCTATTTGGTGAAATTCGGTACAGCGATAGTTTGAGACCCGGGAAAGGACATCTAAAAGTTTTTAACCCGAAAAACCCACGAAACCGGGAACTGTGCTGTTAAAATCACTATATCTATTTGATTGAAATGCGATACAACATTGATTTGCAAACATAGAATAGTGAAACCTCACGAGACGGGCACTGTACGGGTAAAACCTCTTATGGGATTGTTTATTTTAGAAACCACGAAAATAAATTCATTTCTCAATAAATATAACCTAGGTACTGAATCGATTGTGTTGATATTTTGTTCCAGTTGTACAGCCGTAGAATATACCTTGACAAAGACTAATTTAAAAACCCAATTTATACAGAAGTCGCTATTTCACGCGGACGAAGTCGCGGGTAACAGCTAGTTTATTTATATATTTACATCTAAATACAAACACAATGAATATTTATGAGGAGGATGATACTGGGCGGGTTACACTTTCTCATCACTTTTTTTCTTTTAATTGCTGAACACGTGTTGTGAATGTGACATGTGTGTAGAGATGTACCGCGGGGTATCGATAAACAGCGATCTTTCTTTGTGTGTTTTTATGACGATTCATAGAGTAGGCTACAATGAGGTTTTTTCAGTTTTGAGGTTTTTGTCAGAGGAGCCCATTCACCCCTGGCTTTCGGTAACCTCACTCACACGACGAAACATAACGTAAGCGTTGTTTCACGTCGGTTTTCTGTGAGGCCGAGGTTTCACTTCGGTCCACTTTATGACCATGACTAAAGTAGGCATGACCTAATGGCTGTTACCAAAATCTGAGTTACAGGAAAATCTCATCGATTTTGTTATCAGTGAAAGTTATCGGTATCGATAAAAGATTGACTCCGCCTGTATTATTTGATTGCATCACATCTACTACATTCTGTAAATGTGTTTGTTTGTCGAATTCTATACTGAATGACAATGTCATTTCTTTTTGAATTCTTAACACAGTGTCAAAATGTAAACTCTTAGTTTTTAATTTACGTATTAGTGATCAGCGCCACCTATGGACAGCACACCCGCAACACCGAAAGAGTTACTAATACGTTGCTAACTTTGGAAAAAGGTGTACTTTCTTGAGATCTATTAACATAAAACCATTCCCGATTTTTCTTGTCGATACAACTTTCACATGCAAGCAGCCCTGCGGTATCAAACGAGTGTTTATCAAAATAAAAAAGCTATGGTGGCGTGGAACAATTATTTGTTTACTCCTTATTAGACCCGGAGTGACACCAGACTTAGCTTGTGTTAACTTTCATATTCAGAAATACTACAAAGTGTTGTGTAAAAGTGAAAATTTGTGCGATACTGAATCAGAATACAGTTCTTGTGGATTTAAAAAATATTCTATGTAAAAGTCAGAGTCTATTTATGTGTTAAATTTTATCTAAACGCAATGGTTGGTTTCCTCGTGAACTTCTGAACTTATGGTTCATAGAACCTACCGCTATTTATACTTGCTCAATTGTAATTGTCACATAGTAATACAACACAGTATCTAGTTTAATTTTGCGCTCTAACCAATAGAAGATAAGAAGCTTATTTGGAGAATCTTGTCTGAGTTTAAATAAAAACCATAAAACTGATTTTAGAGTCAATCTTCAGATTTATGAGTCAATAAGTTCCTTGCTTTAGTTCCGTAAATTAAATACAGATTTACAAGACACAAATCTGTGTTCCACATGATTATTATTATTATGTTTTACGACTGACCATAGATGCAAGTATAATTATATATCTATACTGTAATATTATAAAGCTGAAGAGTTTGTTTTTTTGTTTGAACGCGCTAATATCCGAAACTACTGATTCGAATTGAATAATTCTTTTTGTAATAAAACATCTCGCTACGACCAATAGGAGCCGAGCAGAGCGGGTGAAACCGCGCGCAAGTAGCTACCTCTAGTATCTAGATAAACTTGATACTTGTAAATGTAATTGAATAGTGACAGACTGCGACGGTCGAGACGATGACTCATTATGTGACTAACGTGACATATCACACAATTGATACTAATTGAACTTCACACGTTAAGTCACACTCATATTTAGAGCTTACGTTTTGCAAGCTTATTTGTATTGTCTTACGGAACTTTTTTGTTAGACGAAAGTTCGTTGAAAAGATACAATTTCAGAACTCCTTAGTACCCTATTCCTTTCAGTGTAGGACTATCGTTGTCAACGAAGTAGTCTATAACAGATAAATAAAATTGGAGTGTCTGGTTGTTATATTAAAATAACTGTTTTTACTACATGCATATGAACATACATACGATACACTTACCTAAACAACGTATTTTACAATTTTTGTCTGTCTATCTGTGTGTCTGTTTCTACTGGCTGATCTTTGGAATGGCTGGACCAATTTTGTAAAACTATTATGGGTTGGTAGCTCATCAGCTAAAAAGTAACATAGGCTACTTTTATTTTAGAATATTGACACAAAAAAAAAATGTTATAAAAGTCAAATTCTACACGGACAAAGTCGCGGGTAACAGCTAGTCTGTAATATATAATAGAAAAAAGCTAAATAAATTTGTGTCATGTTAAGCAAGCTCGTAATAGCTGACCACATTTTGATGAAATTGTACACGCACAGCGTATGTTGCAGAATAATTCAGTAGTCCAGTCTTTAATTGTATCTTAATACGCTGTGAAACAAAGATCACCATCGTATATTTCTAAATCATTCATGTTAAACTCAAAACCTACGGAACAGATATTAATGCATTGTTTTTATAATTCGCACGCTGCTCATGAGGAAAAACCCCTCTATGGTTCGAAACTAGTAGAGCTTTTCTCAGTATATTCACGTGCATAACCTGCGATTTTAGTTAATTAAGATATTAATGCAGTTCTCACTAATGTATGAGTGATTTTTTAGGAAAATGTTAGTGTGTGATTAATAAAGTTTTGGACTGGAGACTAATTTGTGAAATGCTTTAGACAAGTAGGTTTTTTAATAAAAAAATGCTAGTGTTGTAAAAATGTGCTGGTGGCTGAAAGTGAGTGTGCCTCTGATATATAACCTCGGAGCCAGGGTCGGCACCACCGTGGTGGACCAGTTCTACCACATCGTGCACTGCCTTACTGATGTGGTCGCAGGTACGAGACCTCGCTGTGTAAACACGATTTGTTAAAGATGTAGGGAATATTTAGAATTACTCAATCAACATTTAATAATTATTTAAAGTATTCCTTAGCAACGATTTTGTATAGCATAACATAACATAACATCACGCCTTTTATCCCCGGAGGGGTAGGCAGAGGTGCACACAGAAGTAACACCCACTTTTCACTATTTATGTTATGAGTCCCATGTAATAGGGGTGAGCCTATTGCCATATACCGGGCACATTTTTAGACTTCGTGCTACTACTGAGATTAAAAAAAAACCAGTAATACTTTGCCTGACCCGGAATTCGAATCTTAGACCCCTTGCCCGGCAGTCGCACTTGCGACCACTCGGCCAACGGTCCGAACACTTCCAATTTAATGCGAACTACTTCAAACTATTCCAGAAACAAATGACGATCATCCATCAGAAGAATCAGAAGCAGAATCTCATAAAGCTGAGAGCACACCGAGCGAGGACGCGGCTCGCAAATGGCCAGAATCCCGCAAGTCTGGCGGGACGAATATGGCTGACCGACCACTGCCCGTGCCGGTGGAGAACGAGCCTTATTACATGAACGTGGACCGGGCAGAGGCCATCAACTTGTTGAAGGGACAGCCTGATGGCACCTTTATATTGAGGCCCTCTAGTCAGGTAACTAAGATTTTTCTTTTAATTAACTATAGTAAACATTAGAACTACAGTAAACGTTTTGTAAAAAACCGCCGTATCATTCTGCAGAATTGGGTGATTTGGAACTGATACCCTATTCTTTGAGATCGGAGAACCAATCAGTATAGAACGTTTTTTTGTTTTTTAATATGTTATCTCTTTTAGATGCAGTTTAAGTTGCTTTGAATCAAACAGTTCAAATAGTAGTGTAGAATAGAGTAGAGTAGGGTAGAGAAAGGTAGAGTAGGGTAGAGAAGGGTAGAGTAGGGTAGAGTAGGGTAGAGTGGGATAGAGTGGGATAGAGTAGGTTAGATTATACGTATTATAGGTATTACGCGGTACGAAGTACGCCGGGTCAGCTAGTCAATTATTATACAACGAACTTTTTAGAGAAAATTATTCAACCTAATCATTTCTACCCAACCTATTCCAGCCTGACCATGCCTACACTCTAAGTGTAGCGTGCTCAAACGCAGTCCACAACGTCGGTGTCCGCCGCAGACCAGACGGTCGGCTGGCACTCGGTTTCCCTCGGCGCGGGGAGCAGAGCTTCGCGAGCGTGACGTCACTGCTCCGCCATCATCGCAAGAGGAGGCTCCTGCTGGTAGCAGGCGGTGACGTCATCGGAGCCACCACGCTCAACGAAACTCCTCACTACTACCAGAGCCCTAGCAGTATTCCTGTACCAGTTGCTAATTAGGGCGAACTGAGGAGTTGTACTGGAATATGACTTGAAGACTGTTCTATACAGTCGTTGTTGATGTTAAAGATGAATGAATGACAGTGACATGGTGTTATATTACCGCGTCAGTTTTTAATCGATTACTTCAGAAGAGGGGTTAATGTTTTCCGTTTAATTTAATAAAGGAGGAGTAAATGTTATTTCGCTTACTGTGTGTAATGTACCTTTATAAAACGCAGACACTTTGTCTAGTTGCAAACTGGTCCCACCACGAAAGCAGTATATGAAATTAAGCAGAATTATCTATAGTCCTGAACTTTAGTATAAAGAATTTAGTATTAATGTTAAATAGTTTCTGTTCTTCATGTTTATATTATAACTTTTGTGAGACATACTAAGTTATAATTATTTTGTTTTCGACTTACAGTTACGGGAACTGTTTGACGAAGAAGTCGGCTAGTTTCATCAGACGCTCATATTTAGGAGCAGCATTCCGGGACACACGACGACGCGGCGATTGTCATGGAATGCTGCTCATGAACATGAGCCTCTAGCATGGCTTGAAACTAGTCGAGGTCCGCGTCAAACAGTAACGTAAGTAAACCGAAAACATATTAATTAATTCCGATCTTCATGTCATAATAAAACGGTAATTATTATACCAAAGAATGTTTTGCAAGTATTGTAGTTCATAAGATATTGCCTTGTAGTTATCTATCATCTAATTGGAGTACTGCCTCTAAATGTCACTTTTACTATTTATTATTTCGATATTGTGATGGCTATCTCTTCTATATTTTGCAATTTATTCTAGTTGTATTCCATTTTGTACTTTTCTCTTTAGTTTTAGGGTTTATTTTACCATTTCTCAATGTTTAGTAATATCTTGATTTAATTTGATCTCTTCTCTGTTTTATTGTGTCTTGTTGTGAATGTAGATCTGAATATAAATATGTATGTACGCAACACATCAATGTACAAATATAAAACTCTTACCCACCCGTAAATCAGTTTTATTACTTTCCTTCAAAATGAAGCTATAAAAACAACATCATCATCATCAAAAGCCTATAAGTGACCACTGCTGACCAAAGGCCTCTTCTCACACGGAGAAGGTTTAAGCATTAATCACTACACTTGCTCAATGCGGGTTGGCGATTTCAAACCTATAAAATGCGGCGCGGTGTGTTTTTACATATAACGAAGTAAACAACTAATGAGAAAGGAATTGCCAACTGTACTAGGGTGCAATAAACTTTATAGTCACATTATCTGAGTGATGTTTTCTCTACACACTCCAACGTTAATTACAAGTGTACCTACGAATTGGGTAGTTTCCTAAACTTTATTTTAATGTCCGTCTGGTAGATACATTAATTTAACTTTAGACATGTATTTTTGCACACATCTGTGATTGTTTTACACAAATTCATACTTAGCATAACATGTCATAACATCATGCCTTTTATCCCCGAAGGAGTAGGCAGAGGTGCACATTATACCACTGTACAATGTACCACCCAGTTTTCACTATTTATATTATGAGTCCCATGTAATGGGGGTTAGCCTATTGCCATACACCGGGCACAATTTCAGACTCCGTGCTACTACCGAGATTTTTAAAAAACACAGTAATATTTTGCCCGACCCGGGAATCGGCCCCGAGACCCCATGCCGTCGTACTTGCGACCACTCGGCCAACGAGGCAGTCTTAATTAATACTAAAACATAATTTCTCAATAGGGAGTATTTGAAATCGGATATACCCAACAAGTGCACTTTATTTGAAAGTGCATTACTCGGTCATAAATTACAACACATATACAGTTCCAGGGTAATGTATAGGATATTACAATTGCACACAATACTACTAGTGTTTCCTAATTATATCAGCTACAAACAAACAGCCAGTAAGTATCTGTTATTAGTATATATGAGGTATGGTTAGCGAATTATCGGTTTCATCATCGCTATGTCATTTGGTTTGATTGTTTTAGGGTGGCTATTTGGTGTTGCCTCATCGGTTTGGTAGTAGGTACCAGAACTATAACCTAAGCTTAGTGTTTGCCCGTTCTTACTAATTTCTCAATCGGGAATCCCTAAGATTGCCTCTTTGGCTCTGGTCTCCGGTTCGATTTCCGGGTCAGGCAATATAATACTGGGGTTTTTCAAAAATTCTCAGTAGTAGCAGGAAGTCTGGAAATGCCCAGTATGTGGCAATAGGCTCACCCCCTATTACATGGGACTCGTAACATAAATAATGAAAAGTGGGTGTTACATTGTACAGTGGCATTAAGTGCCGTAATGTGCACCTCTGCCTACCTCTTCGGAGATAAAAGGCATGATGTTATGTTATTATATATAAATCTCTAAGCTAAGATAGGTGACACTTAAAAAAAATTCTTTCCTCACCAACCTATAAGTGACACTTAAAAATACAAAGAGGTTAGTTGAGATGCTTTCTTACGCTACGTAACACTTAATTAAGAGATGGTAAGTGTGGGAGAGCCATGCTTCGGTACGAATGGGCGGGGTTGACCGGAGTGATACCACGGCCTCACAGAGAACCGACGTGAAGCAACGCTTGCGTTGTGGTTCGTCGTGTGAGTGAGGTTACCGGAGGCCTAATTACATCTTAGGATATCTTCGGCAGGTAGCCGTTTCCAAGATTCCTTTATTCCTAATGTTGAATGTTAATTTGTCCTAGATAAGTATGTACAAGTCTATTGGAGCCAGGATGTGAGGATGTGTAAGGCCCTCGTGTCCAGCAGTCACAGTCGCATACACTTGAACAACGAGGTCTCCAGGTCAGGACAATGTATGAACGCATTCTGATACATTAAGTAGTACAAGTTTAACATACTTATGATACATTCAATTTGATTTGACTGCACGATTGGCGCCGTTACTATGAAACAGGTGGCGGGGTTGATTCCCGTACGGAGCAACTCTTTGTGTGATCCACAAAATGTTGTGTCATGTGTATGTGAACTTGTATAAATATTACTTTAGACTGACAATTGACAGAAAAAGTTACACAAGAAGCAGTTGATGACAATCATCATAACTTAGAAACACTGCAGTATCATATCCGCTACAATACTATTGCTGAACATAGGCCACTCTGTGCATTGATGCCCAGCTCCACCGGTTGGTAGCTCATTCAAAGGATGCTCTAGAAATTTCATAAAAAAAGAAATGGTAATTGAATTTGACCTGCATCCAGCAGTTTCCTGTGACCTATATTGGGTTGTTTGTCCATCTTGTGGATGGACTTATGGCATATGTACGCTTATATAACGCAATCGACGTCGCCCATGGACTCCCGAAACACCAGAGGCGTTATAAGTTCGTTGCCAGCCTTTAGGGATTAGGAATTAAAGGATTGTTTAGGATTCGGGGATTGGCGAGATTAAGGAGGAGGTAAATTGGCCTCTGGTAACCTCACTCACACGACAAAATACAACGCAAGCGTTGTTTCACGTCGGTTTTCAAACCGATGCTGATAGCTCGGCGATATGGTGGACAAAATCCTAGCTAAAGGTCGTAAAGAAGACTACTTTCAACACACACATTTGAATGATTAACTAAATCCAATCTTAGCAGTTAATCTAATCTACAATTATACTAGATCAATGTGCAAGTACTATAATTAATTAGGACAATAAAGAACAGCATAAGTAAGGCTAGATAGCGGCCAATGCGGCACGTTATGATCCACGCCACATTACACGCACTGATACACATTCGCTGCAAAAACTGCATTCACAAGGGGAAGTGTGAACATTGTTCTAATTAACTTTAGGAAACTGAAAAAATGCTCCAACTAATATATGTGGCGCAAGGTTTGTGCATAAGTACACGACCAGGGTTAGGCGGAGAGGCTTTCTCGGGTCGAGTAATATATTAAAGTTCCTTGGATTTGTGCAATATATACGCACACCCTATTACATGGGACTCCTAACATAAATAAATGAAGAGTGGGTGTTACATTGTACAGTGGCATTAAGTGCCGTAATGTGCACCTCTGCCTACCTATTCGGGGATGAAAGGCGTGATGTTATGTTATGTGTGTTTCTTGAATTATTTTTAAACTAGCTTTTACCTGCGCCTTCGCTCGCGTCAAAAATGGATAAAAAGTAGCCTATGTGACATATACCAATACATACAGCGCAATCTATACCAATACTTTTGTTTTCCCTCAGGAATATCAAATTTTTACGGGATTAAAAGTACTCTATTATTTTATCCGGACTTCTAACTTTACGTCTGCAAAAATTCAAAGCAATCGGTTTAGTAGTTACGGCGTGAAATCGGAACAAACAAACAAACTCACTTTCCGATTTATAATATTAGTTAGGATTTAGGACAAGATTTGTTTTCTATTTATTTGTTTGTTGAAACAAATTAATAAAATATTTGTGTCATTGAAATATTAGTTCTTATGAAGTACCTATGTTGTATGAGTAGTTAATTCAGAAGTAATTACAATAATGAGAAGTGAACCGTGGGATTGTTTATACCGCGTAAATTGTTATATTACGCGATAAAGGGTCGTTTGGGAAAACAAGTATGTTTATATTTTGATGATTTAGCCGAATTTCACAGTGCTTTTAAAGAAAACTATGGGGCAAGATTTCAAGCAAAAAGAAAATTATCTCATCGAGATTACTGAGAATTTTATAAATCGAAAAGCTTTTAGGGTACTTCTATTTGAGCTCCATTCAATTAGGTAACAAGGAGTATACGAGTAACAGAAGTATTTATTTTGTTACGGTTTTTGGCGTGAAATGAAGTTCTTTCTTTCTTTCTATTTAAATCAACAAATTAAGCTAGGCACAGCCCTGCATGATTGCCTGCCCTTCGGATATATAGCATGTCTTAGGCAATGGCAGTGCAGTCGTATACCTTTACCCGATGTAATAGGGATATCAAACTATTTGGAAAACTTACAGTCGCTGACGAAACACAGGACGTAAGGTAAGAACCACTCTCATGTCCAGTCAACTGATTCATTCAGTTAGCAGAACAGTAGCGGTTGAAATACAATTAGCAATTAATGTACAATTCCTTATATGTTATTTCGTGTTAAGTTGGATTTTCAATTCTATTAAAAGGTAATAAGTGTTGTGGATCGTGTTTTGTGAAGTGATTAGATAACTGTAGTGATTTTAATATAGTGCGCGGGTTAATAAAGTGTTCCTGTGGTAAATATATTGAAGTAAATATTGATAATTGTTTAATGGATTTATTATGGATCTATATGTAACATGTACATTGAATACATATTAATTATTATATGTTCGGCTAAATCTCTTAACTGTTTGGCGAGGAACTAGACTAGTTGCTGTGTAGCAGCGCGACAGACGCCACGTCACGGGTTGCGGAAGAATGCTGCTCATGAATATGAGCCTTTAGGATAGTTCGAAACTAGTCGAGTTCCTCGTCAAGTTACGTGAGTAAGCCGAAAACATAATAACTATTATGTATTTAATGTACATGTTACATATAGATCCGTAATAAATTCAGTAAACAATCATCAATATTTACTTCAATAATATAATTTTGTACATATTTTAATTAATAGATAGTCGATGTATTAGAGAGGTATCGAATTCTAGAGACACCACGACCTCTGCGTTACTACATAGCACAAAACAAAGTCGCTATCAGCCGTCTGCCTGACCCTATGTATGCTTAAAGTTTTAAAACTACGCAACGGATTTTGATGTGTTTTTTTTTTAATAGATAGAGTGATTCTTAACGATGGTTTATATGTATAATACATGCATATTGCACCCGTGGGAAGCCGGGGCGGGTCGATAGTGGTAAAAAATCGAGTTTGTTCGATTAAGAAAATAATTTGAGTGGATCTGATGTGACATTAATAAATTAAAGTACATAATAATTATTATTATTAGGTGCTTCGTTGGCCGTGTGGTCGCAAGTGCGACTGCCGCGCAAGGGGTCTCGGGTTCGATTCCCGTGTCGGGCACAGTATTACTAGGTTTTAAAAAAAAATCTCAGTAGTAGCTGGAGTCTGGAATTATGCCCGGTATATGGCAATAGGCTCGCCCCCTATTACATGGGACTCATAACATAAATACTGACAAGTGGGTGTTACATTGTACCATACCATAATGTGCACCTCGGCCTACCCCTTCGGGGATAAAAGGCGTGATGTTATGTTATTATTATTAGGTAAGGAGACGATTTTACTATTCTGTGACGTAAATGTAGTTACTAGTTGAATTGTAACTTGATAATATTTCAAAAATTACCTTCGAGCAATCTGATCCTGTTGCAATCAGGTAGACAATATTTACTTAGAATTATGTTACTTCAAAATTACTCAATGGCACAGTGGCCCCAATTGAAACCTTCGAGCAAAAGGTATTGCGTTCCAAGCCCAGGTGACGCACCCAAACGAAATGGTAACTATGTACAAATTGTATTGTGAACCTGATTGAAAAAGAGTAACCTCCGGAGTTTCTTGGTCGTTCTTCTTCATAGGAATCTACACCTTGGAATGAGCAAATAGCTTCACTTTTTTTTTGACGTTCAAAAGTGCCTTTCTGGTCTAATTGAAATAAATGATTTTGACTTTGATTCTCGGTAATATGAGTTACATGAAGTCTGAAACTATGTCTGTTGTGTGGCAATACACTCACCACACAGAACATGGGTTTTATATATCAACTGGTAAAACGTAAAAATAATATTCCATTGTATATTATGTATCTCTACCTATCCTTCAGGGGATTAAAGACTACATGACTGTATTGCACATTATTGAAATAATAGTAAAAAGAAACTGACCGAAATACCATAATCTAAGCGATAAATATATAAATATGTAGAATAATCTTTATTGTACACCATTAACAAATACAGTACATACAGAAAAAGAAAGAATAAACATAAATCTATATATAAATGAAAATGAATATCCGTTCGTTAGTCTCGCTAGAACTCGAGAACGGCTTAACCGATTTCATTTTGGTTTTGAAATGTTCGAGGAAGTCCAGGGAAGGTTTAAAAGCCGGGTTAGGTAGTAAAAAATATATAATAATACCATTTTCATCATAGAAATGTTTCAATTTCAATTCTTTCTAGCAACTAGAAAAAGCTGAAGCATCGAGAATGTTCGCGGTGGCGTTAGTGTGCATCGCGTGCGCAGCGTACTGGGCGTGGTTACGCATGCGTAATGCCACCGAGCCACCCTTCTTCCCAGGAGGATGGCCCATCGTGGGACATGCACCACAACTACTTGGAGATAGTTGTAGTAAGTTAAACATTTTATAAAAATGTTAGATATCATTTCATCATGACTGCCTCGTTGGCCGAGTGGTCGCAAGTGCGACTGCCAGCCAAGGGATTGATTCCCTGGTCGGGCAAAGTATTACTGGGTTTAAAAAAAAATCTCAGTAGTAGCACGAAGTCTAGAATTATGCCCGGTATATAGCCATAGGCTCACCCCCTATTACTTGGGACTCATAACATAAATAGTGAAAAGCAGGTGTTACATTGTACAGTGGCATAATGTGCAGAACCTCTGCCTACCCCTTCGGGAACAAAAGGCGTGATGTTATGTTATGTTAAAAATATTAGAAAGGGGATTTGGGGTAGCTGATGTTTCTTTTATAGAGGTTCGGTTTTTACTTTGATACTGAGAAGTTTAGTATTATTCATTTAAAACAACACCACAATATATGTACAACCATGATTTATGACTGCTGGGACTACGCTACATAACGTACACATGTAGCGTAGCGTAAAATGGCCAGCTGTAGTGCCTGGATGACCAGCTGCAGGTCAACATAGAACATTTCTTTTTGTGGTTCACAAAGATTGTTCTTTGCCTGAGTATGATGTCAGGAAATGTGAAAAATATTTGGTTTTGGGCAACGGGTTAATAGATCTAGTTTTTATCTATGTCATTCGCAGAACTATGGGACGGCATCAATGACCTAGCGAGACAGAGCTACGACATTGGAGGAGTGGTGTCGGCCAGCATTGGACCACGCACCGTGTACAGTGAGCATAATTCAATGATATATGTCTAGGTTCTAGGGTCTAGGGGTTTCAGTTAAACTAATTAATTTTGAAGTAAAATAAATTATGGATTTAAAAAAAATAACCGGCTTTTATAATAGAGTAACGTCTTCACTCATCAACTGTCCGCTATCTTCTATCAATCTCAATCATACTCATTCATTCCGTCCGTTCGGATTCATTCACACAATATTTATTTATTTATTTATTTATTATAATATCTTACATTACTTCACCAAAGTATTCGGATACACACATACCATGTATTATAATTAACTTATAATTTTAATTTAAGAACTTATAATTCTAAAAACAAATATTAAGTTATATCATATTTTTTCCAGTTGTAACCGACCCAGACGACAGTTTCACTATAGCGAACACGTGCTTGGAGAAGGACGGGTTCTACGACTTCGCTAAACCGTGGCTAGGCGAGGGTCTAGTCACTGGGAAATGTGAGTACTTCTCTTAGCATGTTTAGCTACCATAATACTTTATTAGATTTTTAACTTTATGGCTAAATGATGAGGTTGAAAATCAAGTGAAGGAATATGAGTCATCGGGGTAGCTGGATGTGCTGGTTATTACTGTTCTCATCGTGGCTGTTGTTTACAAAACAGCAGTTTTATAGTAAATGACCTAATACTATAGTTCTATGAAACTTATGTCATTTCTTTCAGATTCAATATGGAAGAATCATCGAAAATTCTTAAATCCAGCGTTCAGTCAGATACTGCTGGACACATTCATGGGAGTCTTCAACAGTCAGTCCAGGAAGCTGGTGAAGGAACTGGAGAAGGAGGCTGGGAAGGGTCTCTTTGATCACTGGACTTATACACGACATAATGCCTTGGAGACTATTTGCTGTAAGATAAATATATGATTATAATTTGTATTAAAATTTATAGCTGCCTCGTTTGCTGAGTGGTCGCAAGTGCTGGGCAAGGGGTCTCGGGTTCGATTCCCGGGTCAGGCAAAGTATTAAAGTAAAAATTTACATTAGTAGCACGGAGTCTGGTAATGTGCCAGGTATATGGCAATAGGCTCACCCCCTATTACATGGGACTCATAAAATAAATAGTGAAAAGTGGGTGTTAATTTGTACAGTGACATTAAGTGTCATGTGCACCTCTGTCTACCCCTCTGGGGATAAAAGGTGTGTTGTCATATTATTATTTTTATATAAAAATTTATTAATGGCGAAGATGGAGCAAAGAATAAACTTTACTATTGTATATTGAACATGGCCGGCGTCACTGAACTTATATAGAAATTTCCTTAAAATCGACGCATTACTGATAAAACACATTTATTGCCTATGCCACATATATATTTTTCTATTTTTTCTCCCATATTGCAGTGACAGCGTTAGGAGTGGACTTCACAGACTCGAACCTGAACAGCCAGTACGTGGAGGCGACGGAGGTGATCCTGAACACCATCGTAGAGCGGTTTATGAAGTTCTGGTGGCACAGTCCTTACACCTTCGCATGGAGTAACGTGAAGAAGAAGCAGGACGAGTGTTTGAAGATATTGCACAACATGTCTAACATGGTAAAGAATTTAATAAAAACCGTACAAATCTAGTTACTTTTTCAATATAACCAAGAATATTGTATTGTGAACCTGATTGTAAACGAGTAACCTATGGAGTTTCTTGCTCGTTCTTCTCCATAAGGATCTACACTTTGGACCGAGCAAATAGCCTCACTAGAAGACCGACAGACTGAATTTTTTTTAATATTTCAATATTTTGTTTTGACGTTCAATAGTGTCTTCCTGGTCTAATTGAAATAAATGATTTTGACTTTGACTTTACATTATGATTATCGAGATTTTTGTGACGAAAGGGTCTCATTTTGTCAAGAGAGAAAACTATAGTACAATTTATATGAAAATTTCTATGAAATCAACGTCTAAAAGAGTATCGCGTCCCTCTCCTTCTCTCGACTCGTTGATTAAAATTACAATAATTCACAAAATACTCCTTACATTAATAATATTTACTTCAGGTGCTGCAAAGAAGGAAATTCGAGTTCAATGGAAATGTTTGCGCTGAGAGAAGTATTATACCTGGTAAGCTAATTCCACTACTTTTGTCATCATTTAACTGAGATTACGATTAACCAAGATTTAATACGAAACCCATTGTAATGTGAATGAAAAGTGTGATCTGTCTCTTAGGCAAACGAAATGCACAATGTTCTGTACATTTTTTAGGAACCAGGTTCAAAGCTTTTATGGATCTCCTTTTAGAGCTGTCTGTTGAGAAGGGAGTATTCAACGACAGAGAGATCCGAGAGCACGTGGACACTATGATAGTTGGCGGCCATGACACCTCCGCTAACGTGCTCATGTTCACCATGATACTCCTTGGGTCACATCCTGAGGTTCAAGAGAAGGCTTACGCTGAGTAAGTATTAATCCAATTAAATTCACAAATATTGAAAAGGAATTGCAATAACATGTTCATGCAAATGTGCGGTTAATGACGTTAAGGACGAGAAGCAGAAAGTACATTTGTTAAAAGTAATCCCAGCAGTGGGTAAACCTGGGCTAAATAATTATGATAATGAGGATACAATTACTCAGGTCAATTACATGAAACTTTAAAGTTTTTCTTAATGGGACAAGCCCGCCACAACCTCCCAAAACCGCTGCAACTCCTGTAAGCCAGGATCTACAGCAGATACAACCATGAAAACACCGGAACACTGAAGTCTTGCACGTCCCAGGAACATGAGTAACTGTCTTGGTTCCCGCAACGAAGTGAATCAGAAGATATTATAAGAGGAGAAGAAAAAAAAATCGATACTTTCCATTTTTGTGAATTATTGCAGGAGACAGAATGAATTAAATCTGAAGGCACAAAAAAGAGACTGCACAACTGGGTAAAGCCCTATAAAGTTTGGCGAGCTTAGATTTAAGACCACACCTAGATAGAATTTCAAAAATAGAATTGTTTAAAAATAAATTACATTCAAAGACAACAATCCTAAGTTATTCGTTGCTTGGAAAACACATATCTCTAAATATTTTCTGCTTATCAATTGCAGAGTACAAGAAGTTCTAGGAGGTGACAGAGACGTGGAGAAGACAGATCTGTCTCAGATGGTGTACTTGGAAGCTGTGCTGAAGGAAAGCATGAGAATATTCACCATCGTACCAGTGCTTGCTAGGAAACTCGACAAGGATGTTAAACTGAGTGAGTTAAGCAAGTTATAAAATTAAAGTCAAGGTCGAAGTCAAAGACAAAGATACCAGAATTTTTAAGTATGACTTTATATTACAACCTTTCCATTCTTCAGAAAACTACACCCTCTCTGCTGGTCGAACCTGCTTCCTATTCGTGTTTGGACTGCACAAGCATCCGATCTGGGGCCCAGACGTGAACGAGTTCATACCGGAACGCTGGTTGGAGCCGGGCAGACTGCCTGACAATCCTAATGCGTTTGCTGCTTTCAGTGTCGGGAGACGACAGTGTATAGGTAAATGATTTCTTTCTGTATGTTGTCTCCTAATTTTGATTTGATAAACCAAGAATAGGAAATTGAAGGTTACTCATGAGCTATGGGTCTATTACTGCTAGTGGATCATTTTGAAAAATCGTAGTTAATGAGTATATTTTTTAACCAGAATCGGTTTCTTATTTGATAGAAGGCGTAAATAAGACTTCGCTGGCAATGTGCATTTTCACACATTTTTTAAAATATCTATTTTCATTATTTCTGTGAATGTTTCTAAGCTTGTGCAAAATTGTTTTAACTAGATTTCATTTTCATTGATCTTCAAACTATTTCTCAATAAAGGGAAGGCGTACGCGCTAATGTCTATGAAGACGACCTTGGCTCACTTGGTCCGCAGTTACAAGATCAAGGCAGACCACACGAAGGTGAGGCTCAAGCTGGACGTCATGCTGAAACCAGATTCAGGTCACTGTGTTAGCATCGAGAAGAGGACGTAGCGCGTAGTGTACCTACAGTCAGCTAAGCTATTAATTGAGTACACAGAATAAAATATAGGTTCGTTACAAAGCATGCAATTTAGTGTCATAGTAGCTACCGTCCTTGTACTGAAGCAATCTTTTGTCTTACCTAGAAATTTGACTGCATGTAAATGAAAGAAAAAGATTCAGTCACTATTAGGATCACATCCATCGCCATACTGCGACATTTAACACATTACGGTATCAAAGTATCATTCGCTAGTTAGTACGCGATTATATACACTGCTGATGTGCATGCGTATCGTTTAGATTTAGGTAAATGGATGCTATTCTTAATCAAAAATAAATTATTTCGACTGTTCAATATAATAAAATATTTCAAAAATACTTACACTTGCATAAATTGAATTTATGACAAACTTAATTTTAATATTTTTCCAGTAAATGTATAAAAGTAATTTTGTTGGTAAACCCTAAAAAACGTGACGTCACAATACACAATCTCGTACAAAATTCATAGAAATCTGTCGTTTTTGACAGTTCGAAAAACGTATTTAATTTGACTAGTTGGCAAGTACCCAATTATTAAGTTGTTTCCATAAATAACAGGTAAGATATAATATGATTTTTGTAATCTTTAGCCACATTATTATAAGATCGACTATTTGATAATTATTTAGAACAATAAATGAACCTTATATGTACATAGTTAGAATCATTTAACTCGTCGAGTACCGGTTTTGTAGACACAATTATAGAACAATAGGTTGCGGTCACCGGTGACCGCTTGGTGTTTGACAGTTTAATTGTATTTTGGCCTGACTGCTTCGTTGGCCGAGTCGCAAGGGCGACTGCCGAGCAATCTCAGTAGTAGACGGAGTCTGGAAATGTGCCCAGTATATGGCAATCCGCTCACCCTCTATTACATGGGACTCGTAACATAAATAGTAATGTAGACAACATAAAAGTGGGTGTTACATTGTATAGTGGCATTAAGTGCCGTAATGTACACCTCTGCCTACCGCTTCGAAGATAAAAGGCGTGACGTTATGTATGTTATTACCTGAAGTACCTAATATCATTAAGACGTGTTTATGTATTAATAGTCGAATAAGTTTTGCCATTATATTTTTATGTTAGGTAGGATAATAAATAAAGGTGTATAGTACTTACTCGACTACACTTTAAGTATTTTTATTGATGTCTGTCCACGAAAATAAGACGTACATTTACATAAAAATGGATTAACTCTATTGTGAAAATACTTATCATAATTATTGAATTTTTGTGAACGAAAAAAAATTGTATTCTTTGAATATTTCCTGAATACATATTTTGAGGTTTTTTGCGGCGTACCTATTTAATACAGATGACCTTTGATGGTTTAGAAAAAAATAAATATTAGACGACTGGTTTCCCAATCTTGAGTTTGTGCCTGATATAACTGGTCATACAAATTTTAAAAGGCAGTTTTAAAATTATAATTACTAGGAAACCAGAAATGATTTATAGGTGTATAGTGTTATAATATTTTGGAATAGGTCAGGGTTTAACTCACGCGATATACTTTTTTTTTTTTTAAAACGTTGCGCCCCACACTAGGATTATCTCCTGTATCGTGGGTGCGTTTACAAACATACAAGTTCACATACACATGACACCCAGACCCAAAACAACAATTTGTGGATCACACAAAGTGTTGTTCCGTGCGGGAATCGAACCCGCGACACGTTGCACGGCAGCCGGTTGCCCAGCTACCGCACCAACCGTGCAGTTAATTTTTATATTTGTCTCATCTGACCTTTTTCACCAATCACCAAGTAGAAGGACGAAGGAGATTTTATAGCTATGCCTGAAATACTGCGAGAGGAACTTATGAATGTTACCATTTTTTAAATATGAAATGAAATGAAAAGAGTTTTATTCGGCATACGGCATGAATGCAAGGAACAAAAAATAGCAATACATTACAATTTAATAAAATAACAATATAAAAGTGTAACACAAGAGAGTGAGAATAAAAGATAAAAGCTAAATTATAAAACTAGAAGATAATAACAATAGGTATAACATAGGTTCTGCACGATATTGGCATTTAAATAAGTTCATTCATTATTTCATTGTTTATTTTATTAACCCATTAAAGGTCAAATAAAAAGTACGAATATTTTTTTTTAATTCTGTTTATTTTTGTATTCAACTGAGAGCATAAAAACAGTAAATGCGAGAAAAAAATGGAAAATTATATTTTTCATGGAAATTCAGGGGTGTACTCAATTGAGTACACTGACCACCTAAGTATGAAAATTTTCAAAACACGACTTTTCTACACAAAGTGTTTTTAGCACTTTTTACTTTGCTCTTGAATGGCAAAGGACACATCGTAGTTGCTTTTCAATTTTTTGTAGATACTGTCCAACTCCATCTTGACATAGCGCTTCAACAACTGATGCAGTAGGGCGCGATTTTTTTTGTTCACCTTGGCGTAAATAATATCGTGCAATATAACGTCGAAACGTTAGTTAGTTGGTCCATCGGATTTTCATTACACATTACATGTAAACGCCAAGCGTTAGTAATGGCCATGTCTAACATGTAGGTGAACAACAGCCACCACCACTTCTTACCGTGAACAGCAATTCTATATAATACGACAGACTGGTCAAATTCACCCGCACCTCCCAAATTTTTATTGTAAATTTGGAATAAACGTGGTATTGCTACGTCTATCTTTTCCTTTCTTATTGGACACCACCTTTTCACAGTGCCGAAAGTTTATCCAGGGACCAGTATATGGGCTCTCCTCACTCACCAAGGAACTTCTTCAAATCTAAGGAATCTATTTGAAAATTATCAGCTCAAGAATATCGTCATCAATGTTTTTTTCTGATACTTGTACAGGATTGAGGTAATAGCACTCTTCTTGTCACTAACCTCGGATTTACTCTGGAAAGTCGAAAAGTACAAGGGAGCACATTTCCGCCACGTAGGGTTTGATTTTGAAGTATTTTGGCGGGTCCGCCTAGTCGTCTCTTTTTTGCTGCTAGCGGTTTATCGTCACTATCATCGCTGCTATTATCTTCTGGATTCCTAAATACCTCAACAGTACCAGGTATGTCCTGCGGTATAAAAGTGGCCGTCATATCGTCATCAGCACCTTCCTCTTTATCTGTCAACACGCTTGTGTCAGGTGATATGATAGCAAAGTCACACTCATCATCTTCGCTATCCTGTAACACAGCTTCAATAGCTTCTTGACGCCCATTGTAGTAAGTTTGCATTGTAAATAGAGGTCTCTTCATTGCAAAGTATCTGAAAAAAAAACAATAATTTTACTTATCTATGTTGTCATTGTACTCAACCGAGTACAGTAATATTCACATGATCCTAGTTTTATTTCAGTAATGTATAATTACTTATTCTTTTTTTACCCGACTGCCAAAGAAGGAGGGTAATGTTTTTCGAGTGTATGTAAGTATGTATGTATGTCTTTTCCTTTGTGACCACCTGTAGCCTAAACGGCTTGATGGATTTTGATGTATGAGGTATCGTTAGATTTGTCTTGATTACGGGAGTGTCATAGGATACATTTTATCCTAAAAGTCCCACGGGATAAAGACATAATAATATTTTTTCTAAATTTCCCTTTAAAAAAATATGTATGCGGTATCATTAGATTCATTTCAATCACGGGAGTAATTAATATAGGATACGTTTTTTCTCAAAATTCCCACGGGAACATGTTAATTCTGCGTCAACGCAAAGCAACTCATGCGTTAGCAAGCAAAAAGATAGGGCGTGGCCTGGCATGCGGCGCGCGGCGCGGTGCGGAGGGGGATATGCTCGAGTATACAGCCCGATTGCGGGCACACGCATGAGGGCACACGTCGTTGACGGTCGTCTCTAAATAGCGATTTTATTCGATATATCCCTATTTGTATATATCGAAATAAAAACAGCTAAAAAGTTATAAATAAAAAAATTATTATTAAAAAAACAAAATACCCGACTGCACACTAAAAAAAGAGTAAAACAAGCCCCACAATAATATTGATCAATCAAATGCTAAAAACTAATTATGTAATACCGTTTAAACAATACCTATATTAAAATACACTACAATATGTGTTCGTAATCGATAGTTAAATAAACAGAAACTTATTTTGAATACAAATTTACTGAATATAATTTATAAATGTTGATGGAATGCATCGCAGGCGGGGACCAACAGAGGCTTATTTATAGTCATTTCGGTTGTGCACCATTTAGCAGAATTTTCGTTGGTGGCGGTCAAGGTGGTCCCCGCCTGCGATGCTTTCCATCAACATTTATAAATTATATTCAGTAAATTTGTATTCAAAATAAGTTTCTGTTTATTTAACTATCGATTACGAACACATATTGTAGTGTATTTTAATATAGGTATTGTTTAAACGGTATTACATAATTAGTTTTTAGCATTTGATTGATCAATATTATTGTGGGGCTTGTTTTACTCTTTTTTTAGTGTGCAGTCGGGTATTTTGTTTTTTTAATAATAATTTTTTTATTTTATAAATTACTTTCATATTATATCTATACCCGTGAAATAAAAAAACTTATTACTGAGCACAAATTTATCAAAAATATCCAAAATAATTTACTTACCTCCACGCCGTTTCGTTCACACAAGTTCAACTGTCAGTAAATATAAAAAAATATGGCACTACCCACGTATAATTTATCAATATAGTTAGACAATTTTATAATGAATTAAACTGTCAAACACCAAGCGGTCACCGGTGACCGCAACCTATTGTTCTATAATTGTGTCTACAAAACCGGTACTCGACGAGTTAAGATAATAGAGTTACCCTACCAAGATACAAGAGATATTAAGTTTATGCGTAGAATTTTAGGTGTACTCATATGAGTACAGTGACTTCTAATGGGTTAATGTGTCCAGTTACTCTAATTGGTTTTTTGTTTCAACCGTTGTGACTGTAAATAAATAAATATAATAGCACAGCTATATATATATGAAGTGTATATACAAAGATATACACGTTGGTGAAAACCAAAATGTCGTTAAGTACCACTTAACACCTATTTCTGCTTAGGGGTTCCTTTATTTTTTTTTAATAAGCCTGTAAACGAGCAGACGGTCCACCTGATAGTAAGCAATCGCCGCCGCCTATAGACACTCGAGACACCAGAGGTGTTACATGTGCGTTACCGGCCTTTTGGGGATTAGGAATTTGAGGATTGTTGGGGAGATTGGAGAGGTTAATAATAACAGGGATTAGAAACTTAAGTTTGGCGTTATTAGGATTTTTAGGGTTCTGTATCCAAATGACAAAACGGTATCCATGTAAAATAGATCAGAAAGAAAGAAAACATTTA